TTTTTTTTTTTTTACTTTTTGGTGAAAATTATTAAAAACCTGAAAACCGTTCTTTAGACATGAGCCATAAAAAATTAGATCACAGTGTGCGTTTGACCCACAAGTTGTCATTTGCTGATACCTGCCCAGAATAACCACGCAGAAAATACAGAGGTATTACCAGTAGTGGAGATAAAATGGAATAAAAAATGCAGGCCATCCAAAAGGAGGCAGGTAAAGAAGTAGAAAGGACAAAAGAACACATGTGACAATTGGTAAACAAATACAAAGATAATAGATTTAAACTCAACTGTATCAATAATTTCACTAAATATAAATGGTCTAAATGCTCCAATTAAAAGGCAGACATGGTCAGGATGGTTAAAATAAGAACCGATTCTCTTAAGGCTACAACAGACCTATCTTAAATATAAATCCCCAGATAGGTTAAAAATTAGAGGAATGAAAAACATATGCTATGAAAATACAAATGCAAGGAAAGTAGTACTTATATTAATATCAAAGTAAATGTTAGAACTAGGATATTACTAGGAATTTTCTACTAATAACTCAGTTCATTAAAGGAAATAATGATATATACACATAACCCTAAAGATTTATACACATAATAACAGCTTTAAATACCTGAAAGAGAAGACCAATAGAGCTGAAAAGAGAAATACAAATTTACATTTATAGTTGGCTATATCAGTACTCCTCTCTCAGTAATTGATAGAATGTTACAGACAAAATCAGCACAGTTGTTGAAGTTGTGAACAGTACCATCAAGCAGCCTGATCAGATTAACATTTGTAGAACATACCATCTAAAGATAACAAGATGCATATCATTTTCAAGTGCACATGGTGCACGCGCAAAGGAGACCTTCCTCCAGGCTGTGCTGAACCCTGTGGCAACCTACTGTTTTATTGGCATTACTTGTGGAGATCTAGCATTGGCGCTCCATGTTTTTGTCTGTTATTTGTGTCTCAAGGTAGTCTATTTCATCAATGTTTCATATAATATTTCTCATTGGCTTTGTTTTTTTTTTTCCTTTCTGTTGTTGATGACTTAATTTGTGAGTCATCACAAAGGGTTCTGAAAGCATCTGGGATTCTATTTTCCTGTCTTCCTTAGGCAGGTCAGAAATGTTTTCATTATTAATCCTGTGACTGTCCAGAGCTGATTTCTCGTTTTCTGTAAAGGTGAGGCTTATTAGTGATGTGGCGCTGCAGTGGAGGGAGGCTCTCCAGAAGGAGCAGGTTGACAGTCGCCCTTTGTTGACTTGCCTAAGGAGCTCCAGGCAAGACAATGGGGAACACGGGGAACAGGGAAGGGAGTCATTAGCAAAATGCCATTTTGCTCATTATGGCTTTAATGTTGCAGGGTTCACTTGTAGGGCAGACTCATGAAACCTGCCTGTCTTGGGATCCTTCCAGGGTGCACAGGTTTCTGGAATTCACTTTCCCTTCATTATCATCTTTCTCCTTCTTCTGAAATAAAAGTTATTACACTCGGATTGTAGGAGATGGTAAGAAGCGTTATGATGCCCAGTCATGCGTGTCACACTTAAACACAGCGACTTCCTGGTTTTCAGAAGTAACTTGAAAATCAATTTGAAATGTCAGTTGCTTCAGTGTAGTCAGCACAGAAAGCCAGGAATTGCGAAAGACACGGCTCTCGCGCCTGCCCCTCGGCGTCCTGGGCTGCGAGACTTCGTTCCTTAGGAAAGGTCTGTACAGCTGGGGGCTGGCTCCGGCTGCGGAAAGTCAGTAACGCAGGTTCCAGGGCCTGTGGGGCTATTCATGCCTTCAGCTGGGGGTGGGGGGATCTAGGAACAATAAAGTTTCCGAACTAAAATAAGGGCCATGGATGTTGTTTAGGTCATTTTGCTATAATTCTCATTTGTCTTTGATTTCATATGCAGTATCATGCCATTTTAACTGCAGCTTTTATAATTATAATTTTAAAAGTATCCTCCTGGGTTCCAGACTGTTCTCTGCTGCTTAGTAGTGAAACCTTCAGCCGCTCACTTACTTACTCTCTTTAGGCCCGGGATTCCTCAGCGATAGAAGAAGAATCAAACTGGGTCTACGTAAGGGAGGAGCTGTGAGGATTGAAAATAGGTATTTCTGTTGATTACAACGTCTGGAATACATAGAGTGCTCATGAATTTTAGCTCATTGCTTCCTAGTAAAGTCACATTGTGCTAAATTTTCAGGTCAACATTAGCTTCATCCTCTATCTGGGATCCAAGGATATTTGTTTTCACATCCTGAGGGTGGGTTGGAGAATGGAAGAGTAGAAACAGTGGTCCTCTAGTAGCTAAAGATGTCAGTTGGTTCTCCAAGAACCATACACATACAATAAAATGTCACTCACATCACTTCGAGAGATTCTGAATTGTCAAATGTTAATTTTAGATTTTAAATGATAATTTTTGAAAAGAAATTAAATTGGTGTGTCATCGCCGTCCAAATGAGTTTGAGTAGAGTGCTATTTTATGTCAATGAGATTACTAATTGTTTTAATTCAGTTGCTCTTAATGGGCTCACTATCACCATTGTGTGTGTGTGTGTGTGTGTGTGTGTGTGTGTGTGTGTGTGTTTTAATCTTTATTGTTTAGAGTATTACAGATGTCCCCCTCACCATTGTTTTTATCAACTTTGTTTTCAAAAGTAAAGACAGGTTTCCACCCAGCTGTTTGAGTTGCTATTAATTTTTGGAATAACTCTTGTTATTGCTTCAAAATAAAATGTTAGTCGTTTTGGTCCAAAGCTCTCGGAAGTGCTGTCACAGTAGAAGTACATGTGGAATGAGCTATTGATTCTTGATGGCTTTTTCGACATATTAGCCCAACGCTAAAATTGAAGTGTCTGTGATACCCTGTGAGTGAGCTCATCGCTCTTCATGAATCACAGCACCTTCCACGTCCAGGTCAGATTCTCCTCCTCCATGAGGTCTGCCCTCACCCCAGGCCGTGAGCACCCCTTTCCTCCTCAGGGTCCCCGTGGCCTTTGCCACCACTTCACAGCAGGTTTTGTCTCTCCTTGTAGCCAGTTTCTAAAGATGAAGATGGCAAGGCACATTCCTGAGCTGTCTTCTTTCAATACATACTCTCTCCGGTGACCCCATTTTGTCATGCATTCAACGTATCATCTGTATGTCAGTGATTCTCGGTGCTGTGTCTCTGGCGCAGACACTTCTTTTGAACACCAAGTTCAAATATTCCAATTGCCTTTGAAGTCTCACGGGTATCCGAACAATGTCTTAAAGAAAGCCCTGGACTCATGAGATCTTTGACACATCTTCTCCTTCATCCTCCACACTGAGTCCCTCACCAGGGCCGAGGGTTCTGCCTCCACGGTGCTCTGGCTCTGGGCACTGCCTCCATGGCCCCGCCCACTCACCAGCCCACAGTGCGGTGCAGTGGCCCCTCTGGTCCACTCACCCAGAGTCCTCACAGTGATCTTTTAAAATCTCAGGCAGGTCACCCTTCAGCGTTCCCCTTGGGAAGGGAAGTAAACATGCTCGGCAGAGCTTCAAGCCTCTGGGCCACCAGGCTTCCTTCCCAGCCCCGCCGCCTCTGTGAGCCAGAGGTGTGCTGAGCTCCCCGCCCCCATGGGTGAGGTGTTGTCCAGTGCTCTACCTCCTGAGAACCCTTTCCACCATGGGAAGCCCCACTGACCTCAGCTCACCTGTCATTTCCCCAGGCAGGCTCTGTCCGAGACCGCAGACCGAATCAGGTCCCCTGCCCCTGCCGTGCTTGAAGTGTCCTGAGCATTTCACTGGGTGATTATTTGCTCAGTATCTGCTCCCCCATAAAACCACTGAGGGGAGTGTGGGCGCTGGAGGGATTGAGAGAGAAAGAGAACTCATGGACAACAGTGTGGTGACGGCAGTGGGGGGAGGTGGAAGAGGGGGTGGCCGGGATAAATCGTGTTGGGAAAAATATAAAATATAAAAAAAGAAAACATAAGCAGCCACGAAAGTGTGGACAATTATAAAGTTTTTTCTTTTTAAAAAAAGAAGAGCCCATTGAGAGCCAAGATCACGCCTGTTTCATTCCCGCTGCGGACCCGGGGCCTTGCATAGTGGAGAGCCAGTCGATACTTGTGGAAAGGGTGGAGCGAACAGGAAGTCGAGGTTCCGGAGCCACTGCAATACTGTATGACAGAACGTGCTCCAACTGCAGGCTGTAACCTAACACGCGGAGCCCCGTTTCAGGGGCTGCGTGGAGATGAAACCCGGCCTCTGCTGGTGTCCTGACCCATCAGATCTCAGTATCGCTGTTACCAAGGAATGTATTCGGCAATAGGAGAAAAATATTTTTTATCAGTTTGACATCAGATATTTGTTGATCACCCACTGGTTGCCTGGTACTGTTCTGGGAGCTTGGAGCACAGCTGGTGTGGTGTGGCTCACTTTCCCGTGGGGATCAGGCAGTAAACTAGCACATGGAAAAGTTTAGCTTTTGAAAAATACTACGAACTAAATAGAGCAGTGTGGTGGCATGGGCGGGGTGGCTGGAGGAGTCCTTTTTGAGAAGGTACCGTGTGAGCTGAGACCTGAGTGACAAGTGGATGGTGGTGGAAGGTCTGAGGGGAGAGCGCTCCAGCCAGAGGGAGCAGCGGGCACCCGGGCAGGCTCTGCAGGGTGCGCAGGGCTAGAGTGAATGATACCTGGGATTGAAGCCCTGCCCCCCCCCGCCCCACCCCCCCCCCCCCCCCCCCCCCCCCGCCTGGCTGCTGATCACAAACCGCACACAAGTGATGTTGAGCTTGGAGGAATGTTGCGAAATAACATGAGGAGGGTTCACATCAGTCATAGTATTCATCACCGATAATTTAAACATAGTTAATCTACCTGTCATGGAATTTATGTCAAGGAGAAACTACCAGAGTGAATGTTCAACTAAGGGCTGTGTTTATGTGTTTAATAGTTTACTAATGGATGATCTTTTCAAACAGTGTTGCTAATTATTTACAAACATTTATATTTACATTCATTTCTCACAAAAGGTTAAAAAGCTGAAGCGAGAACTCTCACAGATGAAGCAGGAATTGCTGTACAAAGAACAAGGCTTTGAAACGTTGCAACAGTGAGTATAACCATACGGAAATTGACTTGAGACTAATTCATAGCCCCGTAACTAATACAAAGAAAATCCAAGTACAGATTACATATGAAATTTCTCCAAGAAACATGCAGGTAAAAGCTCAAAGCTCTGCACTAAAAAACAAAAAAGCAGTCAACCAACAAATCAAAAACTTGGGAAAATCTATCTACTTTGAAAAGAGCTGAAGTTTTTATTAATCATCGGAGGGCCAAAGAAGCCAGAGTGAAAAACCAATTTGTCTCCTGGCACGTGCCAGCTGCTCTAAGATTGAGGGTGGGGCTGAGAGACGGCCAGGGGAGGGCCTCCCCACGTTCTCCCAGCTGCGCTGAGTGTGTCCTGGGGCCCGGCTGGAGGTGCCCTCTGCCTCTGTCACCCCAGGCGTGACCTGGAGTCTCTCCGTGGCTGATCTCAGGGAGCGAGGGACGGTCAGCAGAGGAGCGTGAGTGAGTTCCTCCCTTCCCAGGTGCCCTCTGTCCTGTCCAGGTCCAGGCTAAAGTCGGATGGGCCACTGGCACAGCTCGGGCTGGGCTGGGCTGGGTGGGGCTGGGCGGGGCGGGGCGGGGCTGGGCTGAGGGAAGATGTGAAGACATAGGGCAGCAGGAACGAGAAATCAGTGCCCCGTTCCCAGCCCCGGGAAGCCACTGTTCTCCCTGCTGCTGAGGCCTGGCCTAGCTGAACCCTGACAGGCTCTCCAAGACTTGCCAGCTGTCCTGGTCCCCACCGCGGGGCCGCCAGTGCAAAGGGGGCCGGTGGCTCTCGGCCCCGTGACTGCGAGAGGCTTGCGGGCCTTGTCCTCTGAAAGGCCCTCGGCTGCTTTGACCTCCTTCCTCTGATGCAGGGCCCGTGCCACTGACTGTGGGCAGTATCCATAGGGATTTCCCGACCAGGCAGGGTTCCTGTTCTTCCCCAAATTCCCCTCAGCAGCCGTCCAAGCTAGCAAGGCGACACCCCTTCTAGAGATCCCACGTGTCTGCTGCTCGGGCAGACACGCTGAGTGTTCTGTCTGTTTGGATGACGAGTCACATCTGGATACCCAGCCACTCTTGACCACCAGTCATGTGACTTGACTCTCAGACCTTGGTTTGATGGCTCACTCTTCTGTTTGCCTACTCACCTCCTGTAGTCCCGACCGGGATGCTCTCAGATGCTCCCAACCTAGCGGTTCTCAAATGTGACCCCGTGTGAGAATCATCTGAGTAGCCCTTAAAGACACTCCTGTTTCTAGTCTGCACCCCAGGTATATTTTATGACTCCCCAGGTGGTGCTTAATTAAATATAGCTATGCTCTAAGAGGTCCAGTTGGTTGCAGAGCCCCCCTAAAACCTGGGCAGACCTAGGGTGACACAAACATGTCATTTAGTAATTGTGTCTCAACATAGTGGAGCACAAAGGAGGCCTTTGTGGCCGGAGCAGAGAGAGAGCAGATTCTGAAGAGCCCCCCACAACATTCAGCCATACCTTACACGTCCTTGAGACACGTGAAATTATAACGCGCGTCACCACGGGGATTAAAGGTTAGCCAAACTCGCTGTTTTGGTTCTATTGATGTGACAATGCCCTATTGTTTCAGAGCAGTTTGCTTGTGAGCAGTTTTTATAGGAATCTAAGGCATGTTTAAGAATCTGTCAATAACATTCCACAAGAAAACAATAGCCATTTGTTGTGAAAATTCAGGCATTCTCTTGCGGTGATGCTGATCCCTCCAACCGAGAGCAGGAAGATATGATACCTAACACCAGAGGCCTCTGTGGTCTCTCCCCCTCACACAGCAAAGCCGCTCTCGGTCCAGCCCTGACCACCGGGCTACCGAACCCGGAGACCGTACTTTTCAAGAAACCACATCCCTGTTACGGTGAAGGGACTTTTCCTTGGGGCCATGACAGAAAGTAGTTTCAGGAAAAGCTGTCAGCAGAATCCTGCGGGCTTTCCAGCCTTCCCCGCGTTCACAACAGAGTGCAACGTTTTTGCTGAATCTGGAGTGACAATGTAACCGAAACTCCCCTTTCCTTTTACTTGGTACAGTTGTTTATGCCAGATGAGTGGATGTGGTTTTACTCTGCGAGCTACTCATTTCATTTACTCTGTGGCCCCAAGGGGGACCTGGCCTGAGCAGCAGTGTAGCGTGTGAGTAGGTGGCCACCAGGGAGAGGCGCGTCCCACTTTGCCGCCTCCAGTGGTCACTCAGAACCGGAAAAGGAGAAACGCTGAGCCGCCCAGGAGCCAAGCGTGTGCAGCTTCCCAGAAAGCTGGGCTGGGGTACTGACTTTTCAGGGAGGGCAGCACATGGCGGTCTCCTACCTTTCAGAAGAGACTAAGATATAGGTAGGAATTAGTGATAGGGTGCACACAAATCAAAACCTTTTTAAAAAAACGTTTTTAGGGAAAAATATAAAATGGTGTTTCTCAAATTAAGAATAAAAAAACTACTTTTGTTTTAAAAATCAGCAAATCGTGCTAATATTTTATATTGTCAGGGTCGAAAGATAAAAAAGTGGAAGGTGAAAAGCGGAGGAGGAAAGAGAGAGATGGAGGTAAAGGAGGAGAGAGCGTTGGAGCGGAGGGGCGCACAGGAGCAGGCGCTGGGGAGGGGAGGCCAGATGGGCTCCCGGAACACAGGGCTGAGGCCACTGGTTCTGGTCACATTTAACTTTCGGGTGAGCCAGGAAATTAGCCTCTCTCTTTAAAGCTCTCTGAAATCCAAATGAGCAGTCTTGAAGTAGTTCTGCTTTTCTTTTTAAATGGCAAAGTTTATTCCTGAAAACGGCTCACCTGCGTTTTCATTTCCAAGTGTTAACCTTCATTTCTGGATTGAAGATGTGTTTTGCTGTTCAATTCTGAAGGTTTTACCCACATAGGGAAAAATTACCTGGGCTTTAGAAATTCACTTTGACATAGTTTGAGATACCTGTAGTACTAGCTAATGCATGAAATCGCACAGATTTTTAACAAAATCAAAATAAATCTTTTGCCTTAACTATTAAGGACTCAACAATTTCACTGATAAACCCCTTTCCAAATAAATGGAATTAACCAGTATTCAAAGGCTTCCAGTGTTTTTGTCAAATATTTTAAGTGTAATAGTTGTGAAATCCCAAGCCAGAGTATCAGTTTGAAGATAGTCACCTGACTAGCTGAGTGTTTAGGCAATTCAGGGGCTAAATTTGCACCTCTTTCTGGCCTCAGTTTCTCCATTTGGAGGAAGTGACTGATAGATCGTGAGTGTCCCTTCCCACTCTAAACACTGTGTGTGCTCTATTAGCGGTTTCATTAATGCACTTTATTATCAAAAAGGCTTATGATGAAACTTATTGTCTTAGGTTCCTTAAGACTTTATTGCTTGACCAGCAGCATCGATATTTACTAAACGAGCACTTGGGAAATGTGTCATCTGCACACCGCACTTGTTTGAGTCAACTCCGGAAGAGAGAAGAAGATAGCATTGTGTTGTTGTTTTCAGAATATACCTGTCACAGTGAAGTACATAGACATTGTTAAATGTTTTAAACCAAATGAGCTCAGAGCCGGTTTCCTGTGATTTAGTAGGCGGCTTCTCTGGGTAAGACCAGGACTGTGTCAGGGAAGGCGAGCTGTGGGCTGATGGGCGGAGGGTTAGCCAGCACCTCCTGGGAAGCTCACTGTTCACTGAACCCTGGGCAGGTGGTGGGGAGAACCAGGAGAGTGCGTGAAGAGCTGTTAAACCATTGTTTAAGAAGAATTGGGTAATTTGGTTCAGCCCTTCAAACGCAATCAGGTCCATAATCCCTCTAACAGAGGTGAACTGTACAGACATTTGGTGAGCTGCTCTGCAGGGGAATAAGTCGGCTCAGTGAAGACCTCTTTGTTCACTGCAGCTGACAAATGGGCACATCTGTGTTGTTCCTGGGTCTGAACTCACTCAGGAAGGCGAGCAGTTTTACCCTGATGCATAACCGTTATAAAAATAGAACAAATACATCTCGTATGTTTAAAAGAAAGGAGAAGCTAACCACACAGTCCAAATATCGGAGGGCACTCACTGGTGTGAATGATAATCACTACGTTTAGCAAAAGCCTGCCAGGCTGCAGGCAGTGGGCGGGGTCCCGCAGACGGTCTGCAGGTGAGATTCGGTCTGCAGGTGAGATTCGGCTGCAGTGATGAGCCCTGGAGTCCCTGCGGTTGCCCTCTGGTGAATCACTTCCTAGCGTCCCGGACCTTCCTCAGGTGCATCCGGTCAGCCTGTGCTGAGGTTTGAGTTCTGCCAGCAGTGGGATCGCCCGAGCAGACTGGAGGCAAAAAGGCTGGGCTGAAAGTGATTAGAAAGGGCCTGTGCAGGGTGGGACGGGAGGAGTCTCAGCTAGAAGTGATTGGAAGACACCAGAGGAGAAACTTGCACCTCAAAAGGATGATGTTGGCGTGCAGGAGTCAAGGACTAAAGCAGCCAGCCAGCAGAGACAACCCAGACCTGTTCCTCCTAACGTGTACTCGGTCATTCTTTGATTTATTTTTCCTTCTCTCTCTCTCTTTTTTTTTGCTTTAAACAGAATTGATAAAAAGATGTCTGGAGGCCAGAGTGGCTATGAACTTAATGAAGCCAAAGCCATTCTGACGGAACTGAAATCTATAAGAAAGGCTATTAGCTCAGGAGAGAAAGAAAAACAAGATCTGATGCAGGTATGTCATGGGAAATTCTGTTGAGTCACTACCTTCTGGGGCCCCAGGAACTCTCCTTGAGGCAGAATTTCCCCATTAGTCGGATGGCCCTTTATCATCCCCTCCATTCACACGGAATCTGGTCCCATCGCAGATTGTCACGGCAGTAACCACACCTGGGAGGAGAACAGATTGGTTCCAAGGTCCTGATGTGCTTTTCTGAAGGCAGGCTTTGGGTGGCCTTTGCGCCAGTGGGTGATGGATCCTGGATCCCACACGAGGAGATTAGCATCCCTGTGCACCCGGCAGGTCACTGAGAACCTCACGCGGGACCCTGATAAGCAGGTTTATCTAACAGTGATACATGTCACCTGTCATCAGGAAGTAGAAGATATGCCTTGAGGGGAGGGGGATCTTATGTGAGGATCTCAGAAAAGGGTCTCCCACGCAGGTGGTTGTAAGTGCCATTGGGGAATGCTGACCCAGCGGGGGAGAGCTGTGTGGTCACCCCAGGGGCAGGAGAGCCCCTCATTACACCTGCAACCTCAACATGCAGGTCTCAGCCCCCAGTGACTCAGCCTCGTGTGAGGAAACAACAAAAAACAACTATTCAGTGATAAGCATTCTGAACATTTCTCGTTAGCAGATATAGACAAGTGTTCTTGTGAAGAGTGTATCCCTTCCTCCTCTTCCCATCCCATGATTATCACAAAGACTGAGAATTCTTTGTATTGCAGATATGTGGAGTTCTTCCCCTAACTGAGTGAGGAAATGTGTTTTTGGGGGAATTGTTAGAGCCAATGATGATGTTTGCATTCTTAATAGGACGCCTATATTTAAATACTGTATTCACCTACTTCATGTCAGTTAGCAAAATGCTAGTTGAATATAGGTAAATATTCTTGAACTCATAGACTTTTGCATTTTGGCAATTTTGAAATAATTTGCAGGGAGGGATCAAATAAGAAAGACAACAGTAATAATAACGAATACTTAGGAGTATTTGGCTCTGTGCCAGGCAATCTTCTGCACGCCTTACATAGAAATATTCTGTTAAGTCTCACAACAACCCTAAAGATAGGCACTGTTATTATCCCCAATTTACAGACAAGGAACTCACAGCCCAGGAAAGCTGTTACTTAAAGTCGCACCGCTGGTAATGGCAGGACTGAATTCAGACCCCGCTAGTCTTGCTCCAGGCATATGGTGTTAACACAATACAGCACATACAAGACTTTATTTAGATATATTTTGCTTTTGTTTCACAATGATCCTGCTGATTAGATCAATAGCTCCTGAAATGCAAGTGATACGGGTCCTTTGAAAAAAGTTACTGGAACTTCAACAATTTTACAGTAGAATCTTGTAAATCAGCAATTTTAGGTCATCTTTGATTCTTTCCGTAAACTTTGGGTTTATACACAGGCTAGATTAAATTAAAACATTAGATTCCTTTTTAATTACTAAAGTATATAAAATAATCAGTGAGTAGATACAGAAATCAACAATAAAGCTGACAGGGACAGTAGACATCTGTGACTTTCAAGCCTCTATATTTTACGACAAAACCCAATAACAGCCCTGGCCAGTTTAGCTCAGCGGTTAGAGCATCGGCTAGCGGACCAATGACTCTCGGGTTTGATTCCAGTCAAGGGCACAAACTTCGGTTGCAGTTCGTCCCTGGCCCTGGTCGGGTCGTGTGGGAGGCAACCAGTCAATGTGTTCCTTACATCGATGTTTCTCTCTCTCTCTTCCCCACTCTAAATGGGAAAAAAAAATCCTCAGGTATTAAAATAAATAAAATAAATAAATAAATAAATAAATCCCACTAACACACAAATATCTTTACTATAGATACAAAACAAATTTCACAGAAATATGCCTGCTTTTAATACTAGTAAAGTACCCTGATTGTATTTTCTGGTCCCTTCTATTTCTTTCAAAAACATACTAGTCACGACCTAAATTGATTGAGTTCATTATCATCACATTAGTACTGAAAAATACTAATCTTTTCACTATACAGATGAAAAAATTGAAAAGACATGCTCAATGTCACTGAACGATTTCTTGGTTCTTTTCTGTGAGGTATTATTTGATGTGACCATTTCAGTTTTATCCCTCTTGTATATACATTTTGTATAAATATCCTTTTTTTAAAAATTATTATTTATTTATTTTATTTTATTTTTTATCCTCACCCGAGGATATTTTTCCATTTTTTGTACAGAGAGAGGAAGGGAGAGAGAGAAACATCAACGTGAAGGGACACATCGAGTGGCTGCCACCCGCACGACCAACCAGGGCCGGGGACAAACTGCAACCGAAGTACGTGCCCTTAGCGGGAACCGAACCCGGGTCTCTCCGGACCGCAGGCCGACGCTCTAACTGCTGGACCAAACTGGCCAGGGCTAAATATCCTTTTGAAAGAAAATCGAGAACATTAGGTAAAAATATATATATAAGTTCTCTGATAGTTCTAATTTTTTTCTTATGAGAATTTTAAATACCAGGATTAAATCCTGGCTCTTCTTAAAGTTATGAGTTTCTTACCATTTGTATTCATGTTCTGTGAGTTTGCTTGGTCCTTGGAGGCTGTGTAGCTACACCTTTTCCTTCTTCAGACGCTCACTTGCTCACATCGTCCGTCTCAGGTCACGTACAGACAGGCTCGGCTTCCTCATCGCTCACATTACTGTGGGCTACAGAACCTCAAGGGTCCTGGTAGATGCCGGCTAAGTACAAAGTTTTCTCGCTCAGTCCAAGTGAGATGGCACTCTAGGTACTCCAGGTTGCCATCATTTCTGCTGCATAAAGCGAGTGGTTCTTATTAAAACAGAGACTTTGTTGTTGTTGTTAATCCCCACTCGAGGATATTTTTCTATTGATTTTCAGGTAGAGTAGAAGGGAGGGAGGGAGGGAGAGAGAGAGAGAGAAACATAGATGTGAGAGAGACACATCAGCTGGTTGCCTCCCACACAACCCTGACGGGTTGGTGATTGAACCTGCAACCCTACGTGCCCTTGACCAGGACTCGACCTGGGACCCTTCGCTGGCCGGCGCTCTGACCGCTGAGCCCAACTGTTCAGGGCAACAGAGACTTCTTTTGAATGCAATTTTTAAAAATCAGAAATACACAGGTTAAATGTCAAGATACCATTATCCACAGGGTGAAAAGTTCCCAGGCTGTCTTGGGAAGATGAGATAGCCTGTTTCACACGCCGTCACATACCTCCACAGCTGCACGTATGTGCAGAGCTGCAGTCTACTCTTACTTTTCAATAATTTCAAGTGCTGTGTACGTGTTAAAATGAAGCCATTGTTTTTTTCTGTTAAGATTAGTTCTTTCAGTGTAATTCTACCTGGTGGGGGAGTTGTGCCCGCTTACATGTTAAGCTTGATGAAGTCCTTCGTATTTTCTGAACAGAGTCTTGCTAAGCTGCAGGAGCGGTTTCACTTGGACCAGAGCATTGGCAGATCTGAGCCAGACCTGAGATCCAGTCCTGTGGAGTCGCATTTATCCCTCTCCAGACAGACCCTTGATGCCGGGTCACAGACCAGCATTTCCGGAGATGTAAGTCGCGCGTGGGCAAGGGCTGACACCGCGCTGTCCTCGACGGGCCTTGATTTCCCACGGACGTGTGTGGTCCCGTTTGGGGTGCCGCGAGCCGATTTGCAATGAATTCCCAGTAATTTTCACGTTCACTTATGCTCCTTTGAATTATGTGAAAGTACAACAGCTAGAGGTCAACATTGGGGCCTACCTGTTTGAAAAATTAATTTTTGAAGTTATTTAGTTCCTATTTTATGCAGTTGAAAGCTAAAGGATGGACATTTTGGCTCACAGTGTCAAAGAAATTAGTTCCAGTTCATAAATTTTATTGACCTGTACACCCTTCATAAACTCTTGGATACCAGAAACGTTTAGCTGATATTTTTTTGGTCTTGAATTTAATGTGTAGAGAAAAGGATGTTAAAGTCTTTGAAAGACAGACAGGCTCGAACTGAAAGATGTTTGCCCCCACCCAGCCTCGACCACCTGGAGTGCCCGCTCGGGGGCGCTGTCCAGTCAGAACCGGCTCCTCCGCTTCCCAGGAGCTTCCGCTTCCCAGAACCCAGACAGGCTCTCTTCCTCCACGGGCAGACTTAACGGACTTTTCCCCCTTTTGTTTTCCACTAGATCGGAGTGAGAAGTAGATCAAATTTAGCTGAAAAGGTCAGGCTGAGTCTACAGTATGAAGAAGCCAAAAGAAGGTACCACGGGGCAGCTGTGCGTCGGGTGGTCAGTGGGCTCCGGCAGTGTGGCTTCTCCGTAGTTCCTCCTCGCTCCTTGGTGACGTCTGTGGGGTGCTCCCCTCGCGTTCTTGCGGAGGTTGCCCCGGGTTTCGTAGACGGAAGGGCTGCGGTCCCCTCTCTACCCGCTGCTCCCCCCGCCCCCAAAGCTGAAGAACGTGAGAATTCATAGTGTGGGCATGAAGTGATCCATCCCCCTCTTCTGGAAGAAAGAAGGTTGAGCTTGTACAATATGTACACTGAGAAGTGCAGAGATGGAAACACCACAGAGGCTCAGGTGTAGGACTTGATAGCAGCTCACGGGTCTCAGGGGAATAGCCTTAAGCATGTTCCTTTGTTTGAGGGGAAGACTCCTGTTATTGATTTTTTTTTTTAATCCTCACCTGAGGATATTTTTACATAATCTTCAGATAGAGCTGGAGGGTGAGAGGGAGGAAGAGAGAGAGAGAGAAACATCGACTAGCCACCACCCACACAACCCCAACTGGGGCTGAGGATGAATCACAACCAAAGCACGTGCCTTTGGCCGGAATTGAACTTGGGACTCTTTGGTCCACAGGCCGATGCTCTATCTGCTGAGCCATACCAGCCAGTACCTTTTTTTTTTTAAGCTTTAAGCCCAGCTGGTGTGGCTCAGTGGATTGAGTGTCATCTCATGAACTAAGAGGTCCCAGTGTTGTTTTTTTAATCCTCACCTCAGGATATGTTTTACATTTATCTTCAGACAGAGTGGGAGGGGGAGAGAGAGAGGGATAAACATCAGTGTGAGAGAGACACATCAATTGGTTGCCACTTGCATGACCCCAACTGGGGCCGGAACGAACCACAACAGGTACATGCCCTCGGCCGGAATCGAACCCAGAACTCTTTGGTCCTCAGGCCGATGCTCTAACCGCTGAGCCAAACCAGCCAGGGGAAGACTTTGTTTAACGTTGTTGAAGATGCTGAGGTGTATGGCCTGTGACTTACTTCCAGGGGAAGGAAGAGGGATTCTTGTTTCTCTGCTTTACCTCGCGAGCTCCTGTGATGTCCTGCACTGTCTTTCCGCCCGAGTGACTCTGCGTGGGGAAGACGTCATTATTCTCGTCTCGTAGGCAGTCTCAACGTGTTCCCATAGTGCAGGACACCTTGCTTATCTTGAGGGAGAGTCATACTAATACGTCTGATGTCATTGTTTTCCTTTTATGACTTTAAAAATGCTATTGATATATCATTTAGAAAGACATGGGGGGGCGGACTGCATTATCATTCTGCAAGGGACAGCGAAATTTATCACGTTGCTCCTGGCGAACATGAAGCTCCGCTGAGAACCTGCAAGAGTCCTGGCTTCCTACCACAAGGAGGACCACTGGGGAGATACTGAAGTGTATCCCTTGTTGTTGGTGATGATGATCATTGGGGAGATACTGAAGTGTATCCATTGTTATTAGTGATGATGATAATTTTTAAGTAGTTAGCCAGACTTCTTAGAGGTGATCTGGCTTTAACAAAGCAATTCTTTGATCTGCCTAAATACAGTATTTGCCTCTGTTACTAACATGGTTTGGTCTTCGACGTCCTGAAAGAGCCCCAGGCTTCACTGCACCAATCACTAACCATGTGAGTGGCTTCAGCAAGTCAATCTGTCTCCAGACAACATCTTACTGGACTAATTTTAATACCTATACATTTTTCAGATAGGTTGTGAATTTTCCGAGGTTAGGGAACGTTTTGTGTTCTTTGTCGTCTGCTTCTTGGTGCCCGGGCTTGAGGGTCGTCCTGGGGTTTATGGCCCCGGGACATGGAAGCCTGTGGTAGGGGCTGTGCAGCCCGCTGGTGGTGGGTGCGCCAGGCCTGTAGCAGTTGGAACTCCTGGTTCTGCAGTAAACCAAGCCCGGTCTGTGCTGGCTTCTCTGGAGAAGAACGGCCACACTCAGAACTAATCTGAGAGCCGGGCCTCGTGCTCTGGGTTCTCTGGGGCTCCCCTCGATTCCCCTGGGGCAGCTGGAGCGTCCGCTTTACTCTGGTGCCCACCGGGTCACTCCCCCGGGAGCTTGGACGGCACTCCTCGATGTGTTCCCAGAGCCTTCCTCTTTTGTTCCCCACATGTGGTGCACCCTTTCCGAGTAAAATCCAGGACCTGCCTGATGCTTGGTCACACAAGCCGGGTGCATTCCCTTCATGGTGTCGTGGCCCCCAGCTCAGTGGGTTAGCTCGGTCACATCAAAACTTAAGCCGCTGGTTCTATCCCATATGGTTGCGTTGCTCTACCACCTAAGCCGGGGTTTCATTTTAAAATTACTAGCGATGCTGATGAGAGGTAAATCTCAACGGTTGGTGCATTTGTTGAAAATGCTTTTTCTCCCTTGATTCTGAATAAGTAGAGAGGCAGGTTGTGTCTCTCTGAAGTCTGTGTTCTCCTCCAGCCTTTGTTTTATGTGCTTAATGAAGCTGATGATATCATGCTTATTTAGCATTTTGATGATTAATTTTCCAGTACGTTGAGACCGTTGCATGGCTTTGTGGTTGCAGTGAAGAATAGCTGGTGTTGCGCCCATCGTAGATGCCGGTGCTGGGCGAGAGCCGGAGCACACGTGTGCGCAGAGCCAGTGGAAGGAGGCAGCTGCACTTTAAACCAAGAGACTTGCAGCACAGGAGTGGGGGCTGCTTTCATCTTTGTCCTGATGGCGTTTTTGTTCACCTTTTTCTTCCTTTCTGCAACTTCTTCCAGCAAAAGGGAGAAACAGGATTATCCCCTGCCCCCCCCCCCCCCCCCCCGCAGTGCCCCCGCGCAGCTGTTTGATCCCGGAGGTCAGAGCTGTCCTAGGGAATCAGGAGTCCCTCGACCATCCAGTGGGAAGCTCCAGACAGAGGGAAATCTGGGGCCGAGTGAAGTGATGAAACCAGTCAAGTTTCCCTTTGCTGCTGCTGCTTCCTCCCCCTCCCATCCCGGTCCCCGCGCTTCGGTGCCTGCGCTGCCGGGGCCACCAGGTGCTGCCTGCGCCGTGTGCAGAGCAGACCCGGGTGGAAGGCAGTGATGCCCACGGCGCTGCTCCATGCACGGGGCAGACACCGCGGAGGGACGAGGATTCCAGGGCACAGGGACGGAGGTCGCCAGCGGAGGAAGCTAGGCCTTGCCCCCTTGTCTTGGTGATGGTGGAGCCTTGATGGGTTGCCTGTCGCACTCCGGTTGGCCACTCCGCCGCGCTTCTCCCTCTGCCTTCCCTGATTGGCTTGTGTCCTTCTTGCTGCCCAGCCCACCCGAAGGACAGCGGTTTCACCTACAGGCCTGACATCTGTAATAGTGGCATTTCAGGCATCTTTTACCTTTTTGTTGTTAATCCTCACCAGAGAATATCTTTCCATTGATTTTTGGATCGAATGGAAGGGAGAGGGGACGGAGAGAGAGAAACATTCATGTGAGAGAGACACATTGATTGGTTGCCTCCTGCACGACCCTGACTGGGGCCGGGGATCAAACCGCTGAGCCAAACCGGCCAGGGCACTTATGTTTATAATGGTAGCTCTCCGGGTCTCCTTCCTGTCACCTACGCAGGCAAGTCGCACATCAGGGCCGACCTGACCAGGGTTCCCAGAGCTCTGCTTTGGGGCTTCTGTGTGCTTTGCTCTTCACCCTTTTGTCAGAGAGGGGTGTGCTCACTCAGACTGTAAAGGTGAGACAATGTCGTGGGCGACAGCTGAGTCCAGAGTCAGGCCCAGAGACGGGGGTGCGGGCTGCCGTCTTGCTCTCATACCGGGGTCACACGCCTTCCGGCGAGGCTCACGGGGAAGTCAGCAGCTGCCCCCCGACTTCCCCGGCCTGTTTCCTTTCCCCGGGAGTTCTGAGTTCACACACCTCTCTCATCTGTTTCAGCATGGCCAACCTAAAAATCGAATTGTCGAAACTGGACAGTGAGGCCTGGCCCGGGGCGCTGGACATTGAGAAGGAGAAGCTGATGCTGATTCACGAGAAAGAAGAACTTTTGAAAGAGCTGCAGTTTGTCACTCCGCAGAAACGCACTCGCGACGAGCTGGAGCGCCTGGACGCCGACCGGCAGCGGCTGGAGGAGGAGCTGCTGGCTGTCCGGGGTGCCCCCAGCCGGGCTCTCGCCGAGAGGTTGGTGTCCTCCTGGGGCGGGCGCAGAAACCTGCGGTGTGTCCCAGCGGCACCCGGACGCCCCTTCCCTGGTCTGCGGCATCTGTTCGTAGCGGGCTTTCTTCTGTGGACGGTCGAGCGCACCGGCTCCGGTCCCTCGTGCCCCTGGGCTCCTCTGGTCTGTTAGAACAAGACAACACGTGGCAGATGCTGAGTAGTCAGGACCGCTGACACCCAGCCAGGATGCAGGGCATCACCGACTGCGCCGATGACAATAGCTGTAAACAGTGGCACCCCGAGAAGAAAAAGTATCTGGGCTGTTTGAGCAACTGACGCTCCCTGTTCTGGGTTGTATTACTGACAAGTGTATTACTTTTCATTTCACCAGGGAAGGGTGGCGTGCTCCCTTTAACGTCTTACCAGGCCACAGAATGCTCACTTGGGTGTTTTTCCAGTGAAACCCTCCTCTGATATAGGTGAATTATCAAGGAAAACATTTGAAGCAATTTTCCGATCTCTGTGGGAATGGGTGTATTGATCATTCAGTCTTAAAAATCCAGTTCTGTAATCAGATCAGCTGGACGTGAGGCTGGACCTTCTGGGTGTCAGTTGGACAGGTGCACGTCTGCACCGAGCAGCTGATGCGGTCGACACCTGTCAGCCATAGACCAGGTGGCCCTTTGGGACCACTGCACACCCCCAGGCTGACAGGTGAGGAGCAGCCCCCCAGAACGGCAGGAAAGCAGCTCACATTCGTGTAACTCCAAGTGACCTGGTACTGACACAGCTCCCAGCCACCTCCAGTTGCTTTTGTTTTGTGTAACTTCTTGGTGTCTCGCCTTCTCATTCCTTGTGCTCTATGAATGTGCAAGGTCACTTGTCTACGTAATAGCAAACATATGTTGAGTGTGGGGACGACGGTGGAGGGGAAAACCTCCCGACCTCCCAGGTTAGGAGGTGACACTGGACTTGCACCCTGAGTGTGCACTTTGGGAGAGCTGACTGTTGGGAATGAGGATGCTGGTCGAGATGATGCCGCCAGGGCCCCGCAGCTATAGGGAGCACGGAAGAGCATCACAAGGCGATGATGTTCCCTCGTCTCTTAAAGACATCTCCGCACCCTCACCGGCCCCTCCGCGCCCTCCCCGCCTGCTCTGACATCCAGAGGAGCAGATCAGAGGCCCAGCCTAAGGTGTATGTGAGCAAGGCTGGCCAGGTAAGGATTCGTCCGACAGACCGAAAGGGGCAGCCCGTGAGGGTGTGAGGCAGGCTTCAGCTGTTTCCTGAATTACCTTGAGGTGGTGGGTATGGGTTTGGATAACTTAAATTTCTAGGATAGACGTTTGGTCTCCATCAGCAACTGTGAAGAAGTGGGCAGCCTTGTGGCCTGTGTATAAAACTCCGGTGATATTTCGTGTGATGTGTGGCACTTAATAAATGTCCACGCTCATACCTGTCTGAAGCGTGAGCCTGTCTCAGCTGCTCTGCCCTGTCGGCGGGTCCGGGAAGGGCCTGTAAATGGCCCTTGGATGTGTTCTAGGAGACAAAACAGGCATTTGTTTGCGTTAATCAGCTTTTCAGGCATGATGTTTTGTCTTTTCTATTAGAGCTAGAGCTTAGAAATGACGGATGACAAACATTAAAAATATACTTTGTTCCTACATTTGTTTGCGCACATATGATAACTGTCAGAAACTCGGGTGAATTTTCAGCCACTATGTGTGACCTCTGCCAGCTCTGTCCTGCAGTGTCGCGAAGTCCCGGGCGCGGTGACCGAGCTCGCCACCTAGTGGTGCAAAGCCCACTGGAGAGAGAGCCCCTCATCCAGGGCTCCAAGAGAGAAATTGCTCTCCCAGGAAAAGAAGTCATGCAGTGTGGGGCTGTTTACACATCTTTGATATTCGTTTCATACGGTTATTGAGACGCCTGCAACTCTGCGTTTCCATAACGGATAAGATCTGAACATTGTTCCCTACTTTCTCACAAATCTTAGAGATTTTATCTTACATCCTGCCAAGATGTCTTAATTACTTCTTAATTATAGTCATGCACCACATGAGGACATTATAGTCAACAATGGACCACATATACAATGGTCCCCAAAATTATAATGTAGCTGAAAAATTTCTATCCCCTCGTGACGCCATAGCCATCGTGAGGTTGTGGGACAGTGTGTTACTCGTGTGTGCGCAGTGATGCCGATGTGGGCAGATGATGTGCTTGTCATGTACAAGGGCAGCACACACATTGTGTGCGGTCATAACACTTGGTAATGGTGATAAGTGACTGTGCTACTGGTTTACTTATTCACCATACTCTACTCTTTAAAAATGTTTTTATTGATTTTTTTTTTTTTTCCTCACCCGAGGACATTTTTCAATTTTTTTTTTTGTTCAGGTAGAGTGGGAGGGAGAGAGAGGAACAGAGAGAGAGAGAGAAACATCGATGTGAAAGGAACACATCGAGTGGCCACCACCCGCACAACCAACCAGGGCCGGGGACAAACTGCAACCGAGGTACGTGCCCTTAGCAGGAACCGAACCCGGGTCTCTCAGGACCGCAGGCCGACGCTCTAACCGCTGAGCCAAACCGGCCAGGGCTATTGATTTTCTTTTTAGAGAGGAAGGGAGAGAGAGAGAGAAACATCAATGTGAGCAAGACATATCCATCAGCTGCCTCCTGCGCTCCCCCTACTGGGGATCGGACCCACAACCCGGGCATGTGCCCTGACCAGGAACCAAACCAGGACCTCTCAGTCCATGGGATGATGCTCAGTCCACTGAGCCACACCAGCTGGGCACCATACTATACTTTTTTATTGTTATATTTGAGTGTACTCTTGAAAGAGTACTTTTAAAAGTTTGCTGTTGACCTGGCCAGTTTGGCTTAGCAGTTAGAGTGTCGGCCTGCGGACCAGAGAGTCCCAGGTTCGGTTCCTGCTAAGGGTGCGTCCTCGGTTGCTGTTCATCCCCGGCCCCAGTTGGGGTCATGCGGGTGGCAACCAGTTGATGTGTTTCTCTCTCATCGATGTTTCTCTCTCTCCCCCTCCTCCCTCTCTCCCTCTTGGTCTATCTGAAGACAAATGCAAAACTGTCCTCGGGTGAGGATAAAAATAAATAAATAAAACTTTGCTGTTAAGAGCCAACATTTTTAGACCACTTCAGAAAAGAGCACTTACACGGGAAACAGCGGGCCGTGCTGCGTCTTCAGCAGCCTCTTCCACCTCATGTTCATTGTGTCTCCTGATGGCAGCATTTTCTGTGTGTTTTGGGCGGTAGCACGCAGTGCGGGCTGTAGCCAGGAGCAGTGGGCGGCACTGTACAGCTGAGGTGTGCAGTGGGCGGCACCGTGTGTTTTGGGCGGTAGCACGCAGTGCGGGCTGTAGCCAGGAGCAGTGGGCGGCACTGTACAGCTGAGGTGTGCAGTGGACGGCACCGTGTGTTTTGGGCGGTAGCACGCAGTGCGGGCTGTAGCCAGGAGCAGTGGGCGGCACTGTAAGGCCGAGGTGTGCAGTGGGCGGCACCGTGTGTTTTGGGGGGTAGCACGCAGTGCGGGCTGTAGCCAGGAGCAATGGGCGGCACTGTACAGCTGAGGTGTGCAGTGGACGGCACCGTGTGTTTTGGGCGGTAGCATGCAGTGCGGGCTGTAGCCAGGAGCAGTGGGCGGCACTGTACAGCTGAGGTGTGCAGTGGGCGGCACCGTGTGTTTTGGGCGGTAGCACGCAGTGCGGGCTGTAGCCAGGAGCAGTGGGCGGCACTGTAAGGCCGAGGTGTGCAGTGGGCGGCACCGTGTGTTTTGGGCGGTAGCACGCAGTGCGGGCTGTAGCCAGGAGCAGTGGGCGGCACTGTACAGCTGAGGTGTGCAGTGGGCGGCACCGTGTGTTTTGGGCGGTAGCACGCAGTGCGGGCTGTAGCCAGGAGCAGTGGGCGGTACTGTACAGCCGAGGCGTGCAGTGGGCGGCACCGTGTGTTTTGGGCGGTAGCACGCAGTGCGGGCTGTAGCCAGGAGCAGTGGGCGGCACTGTAAGGCCGAGGTGTGCAGTGGGCGGCACCGTGTGTTTTGGGCGGTAGCACGCAGTGCGGGCTGTAGCCAGGAGCAGTGGGCGGTACTGTACAGCCGAGGCGTGCAGTGGGCGGCACCGTGTGTTTTGGGCGGTAGCATGCAGTGCGGGCTGTAGCCAGGAGCAGTGGGCGGCACTGTACAGCCGAGGCGTGCAGTGGGCGGCACCGTCGAGGTTTGTGTAAGGGCCCTTGGCAGTGTTTGCACAACAGTGAAAAGCAGTACATTTCTCAGACTGTCTCCATCACTAAGTGGCATGTGACTGTACAAGATGAGAAAAATTTTGCCATTAGAAAAATTTTAAAGCAAGTAGGTGGGTGTATGAGTGTCATTTATATTTTTTAATGTAAAAGGAACTTGCTATTCAATAGCTGACCTGAAAATGTCCTTACGTGGAACGTGCTGGATGGTCTGAATCAGAAGAGGGCAGGCAGGGGCTTCTCTGCCTCAGGGCACCAAGGGCAGGGAGCAGGGTGCGAGGGGCCTACCTGGTCTGCAGAGGGCAGCTGAATGGACGGCGTGGAGCAGCAGGACCGGGGAGGAATCCTTCAGGGATAGGTTGAGAAGATCCTGGTAGGTATGCACCCTCCTGAAGGGGCTGATGTCTGAGCAATTTCTTCTAATAACTCCTGGTCCCGAGGAAGTTGGGAAGGTTCCTTTCTATGAAGGAACCTAGAATCTGAGGAAGACTTCCAGCCCCACTGGGAGAGACTTGCTGATTCCATCAGAGAACAGTCAGAGTGCTTGACTGAATCTGCGACCCCTAGTGCTTCGTGTTGCTGCTCCCCGAAGGTGTAGCTTAGACACCCGCCAGAAGGGAGCGCTAGAGAGAAGACGATGCCTGCCTCCCAGGAGCTGGGGTCCTACTGGGGAACATGCGGACCGAACACAGTAACCGTGAAAAGGCCCGAGGGCGGCACCTGAGCCATGGCCAGGGAAGGGCAGTGAGGGGGCCATCGCGTGTGACTGGGATGGGATTTTACATTTCAGCATGCAACACACTAACACACTGGAAAAGCCCTCACTTGTGTGTGTGCTATTTAGTTCTAAAACTTCATTAGAATGTGCTTCCTCTGTTTTAGAAGACATGACTTTTAGGAGATTGGGGGCTTTCTCCAGACCTTTATTCCTTTCATCTGTTTTGTAGTAATATTTTTTCTTGTTGAGTTTTATTTATGTTTAAGAGATTTTTAAAAATACAGACTGTACTCCTTTTCAAAATACACCTTTGAGAGCTGTGAATTAAGAACTTATCACCCTTTGAAGTACTAAACAAAATGACAAGAATTACTTTTTTTATTTTAACATATAATGAAATTGTGCTGGTGACACATCAAAGGCTAGATACCTATAAATAAAATATGGGCATGTTTTTTCACTGCCTAAAACATACATAACATTTCAAAGGAGCTGAAAATTAGGGAAATTTTCTTTCTCTTCAAAGAAGAGTAGCTCATTTTTATATCACCACCTTGCAGGGCGTATGAAGCTTTGAACCAGGAAGGTTTGGTTTGATGTCAGCTGAATCTTCACACACACGCTCCACTTGCCTTTCTCCGCAGCCTCAGCCGGCAGACTCAGTAGGAGTGTGCTCACCGTTGTACAGACGAGAAAGCAGAGACCTGGACTGAGTGGTTTTCCCGAGGGTACACACCCAGCACGGCAAGTCCAAGCCTAGAGTCCGTGGCCTGGGTCCCCTTCTGCTGCTCACCGCCCACTCGGATGGGTTCGTTTCCATGGCGTCAGAAGACCCTGAGTTGAGATAGACCACCCTCATGCAGGCTCCGAGTTGCATTTTCAAATGACTTATTCAAGTGCACAGTTGCATAGTACTCCAATTTCTAAAAGCCTCAAACACTCGTGCAGTTGAAGTTCAATGGACAAAATTTCATGATGATCTTGTGTTGGTGATGAAACGTACTGTAGACAGGAGGGGGAATCACGTTTTGTCTTTTTCTTGCATAAACACTTCGGACTAATTCATTGCTTCATCACTCAACTTCTCATCAAATTAAGATTGGAATTTTTAATCACCAGTTGTTATTTGGCACAGTCTGTACCAAATTCAGTACCTATGACGATCTTTTATAATCCTCTGTTATTACTGAGGATTATGTCACCACCATCCATGTTTCAGTAATGTAAGCCCAGTCACGGGCCCGTGGGCTTCTGTGATCTTGGTTAGTGTCTTTTCCTTCTCACTGTCTTCCTGTAATTCATAAGAACATGAGGTTTCTCACCCATTTCAGAAAACTTCAGCCCTGGCCGTTTTGGCTCAGCGGTTGGAGCGTCGGCCTGTGGTACAGAGAGACCCGGGTTCGGTTCCCGCTAAGGGCACGTACCTCGGTTGCAGTTTGTCCCCGGCCCTGGTTGGTTGTGCGGGTGGCAGCCACTCGATGTGTCCCTTTCACGTCGATGTTTCTCTCTCTCTCTCTTCCTCTCTCTCCTTCCCGCTCTATCTGAACAAAAAATGGAAAAATGTCCTCGGGTGAGGATAAAAAAAAAAAAAAAAGAAAGAAAACTTCAGAAAACCGAATTTAAAACATTCTCAGTTAGGCTGAGATGTGGTATCGTCAAAGCACGGCCGTGGACGCTCCTGCCCCCTCTGCTCCTGGCTGGGGCTCTGTTTTCTCTGTCAGTCTCGTTGGCATCGCCCCTCGTGGCCTGTCACGTTTGTACGATAAGGATGCAGTTTCCACGCTTTCGCACAATCGCTTGAAAGTAGCGTCACGCCGTTTCCGTGTGTTTTCCCAGGTTGAAACTGGAAGAGCGAAGGAAAGAGCTGCTCCGGAAACTTGAAGAAACTACCAGATTAACTACTTACCTGCATTCACAACTCAAAAGGTGAGTGAGTTTTTCTTGACTACGTTCAGGCATGTTTTTCTCGGTCGTCGATTACTTTTCTCCTTGGGTCCAGCCATTTAGAAGAAGAGAGCATGGTTATACTAGTGCAATTAAAACCCGAATGACCAAACCTCAAGGTGCCTAGATTTTTCTTTCACGGTCCTCAAGGTCACATTTGGAAAACATTCGAAATATGGTGTGGGAAGCAGGTGTATTTTAGCTTCAGTACAAACGGAGGAAAATGACCTGCTTTCTCCGCTGCAGCCTGTCTTTTAAGAGGGGAGGGTGGGCCGATTCGTCCGGGAACGTACTCCCTGTTGACATGCACCCAGGGAGGAACGGCTGACCCGGCTGTGTAAGCCCCGCTCTGCAAGGAGCCTTGCTTCTCGCAACTAGAAAGTTTCATTTGTTAAGCAACGTGACTGCGCTGACACTTTGTACTATTTACTCCCGCCTACATTTTAAATTGCACGGTTGCTTCTGGAGACCCGTGCGGGTAGATTATCAATAGGTATTTGAGTCCCTCTTTTTTGGTAACTTTTGCAAAAGGGGGGTGATTTTTAGTAAGAGTAGGATCATTGCTTAAAGAGAATTTTGAGAGCCAGGTTGAAAATGTTCCTGAAGAACCTAGCACCAGCTGGGGTAACCGCGGGCTGGTGTCTGCGTCGCGGAGGGTTCCGTGGCCTCGCCGGGGGTCTGAGGAGGCTCCAGGGGCTGTGCTTGGGTTTTCTGTGTGACGCCACCTTCACCACGTGCGCTTTTCTTCCCAAAGCCTCTCCGCCAGCACCCTGTCCATGTCGTCTGGGAGCAGCCTGGGTTCCCTGGCATCCAGTCGGGGGTCCCTGAACACCTCCAGCAGAGGGTCGCTCAACTCCCTCAGTTCCAGCGAGCTCTGCTACACCAGTCAGGGCGACCAGATGGACTCGGACTATCAGTATAAACTGGACTTCCTTCTGCAAGAAAAGGGCGGTTACATTCCTTCCGGACCCATCACCACCATCCATGAAAACGAAGTGGTCAAGTCTCCCAGCCAGCCCGGCCAGAGTGGCCCCTGCAGGGCGGCAGTCGCAGCCACAGGCCACGCTCCCCCGCTGACCGAGGCCCCCAAGTCCGTGACATCCCTGTCCTCAAGGTCCTCCCTGTCCTCCTTGTCCCCTCCGGGCTCACCCTTGGTATCAGAAGGCACGTGTCCCATGTCTTCCCCCGACGTCCCTCTCCATCAGTTCACCGCCGACTTTGACGACTGTGAATTGAGCAGCCACTTTGTAGACATGAGCCTCGGAGAAAACCAGATACTGCTGGACCCCGATGCCGGAGGCACGTCCCAGTCTCTGCTAGAGGACAAAGACCTCCAGGAATGCACCAGGGAGCCGTTCTACGAAGGAGCTGCAGGTAAGCGTGGGCGTCGCCGGCCTGTGTTCCCGCAGCGGTTTCAAGGGGAAAGATCGGTTTCAAGGGGAACGATAGGAGGGCTGCCTTTTCCCTTTAAACAAACGGTGCTAGTGCCCCGTCTCTTTCCGCGGCCCTCTTTGTTTTGGCTCATCTGAGGAGTCTTTAAATGATATCCCTAGACATTTTTTCTTTATCAAATAAGAATCTCCTTCCCTCTGTGATAATTTAATCATTCAGCATCCGGTCTGCCGGGGCGATGCCCTCTGCATGGCAGTGCCCGGGAACATGCTCTGTGGACACACTTCGTACTTTCAAACGGATTCTGGTCCTGGAAGAACAAGGCAAAGAAAGGGGCTTTCTTTTTCAAGTTGGCCTAAAACAGATGAAAACCAAAGCAATTAGCATGCCAGCTAATTAGTACCAGGGTTCAGTGTTTCAGTTTCTTAGGGAATTCCATACAAATACAAATTTTGTTTCATGCCAAACTCCCCTCGCCCCGCGCCTAATTGCCGACGCCTCTCCAGCGGACAGTGTCACCCTGCCATCTGCTGGCCTCGTTCCTAGTTGCAGAGGGAAGTTCTTTTTTCTGTAATTGCTTTCCTTTGCGGAGCAGAAGCTGTTCTACATGAGATGCAGTGGTAAAGAGGACAAGGTGTACCCTGTGGGCACACGGTCACAGCTGCGGTCCGAGGAGGCGGTCTGTTGGATCGCTGGCCCGAAACGCAGTAGGAATACCAGCTGCAGTGTGGCTTCCGGGAGCCCGGTCAGATCTGCGCTTTCCTGTGCCTCCGAGACACAGGAGAGGATGGGCCTGCCTCTTAGCAAGCATTTTCTTCCTGTTTCAAGAAGTGTGTGTGTGTGTATATACATATATATATATATATATATATATACATATATATATATATATATATTTTAATTCCTCACCCGAGGATATTTTTCTGTTTATCATTAGACAGAGTGGAAGGGACGGGGAAAGAGAGAAACATTGATGTATTAGAGCCACTTTGACCGGTTGCCTCCCGCACAACCCGACAGGGCCAGGGACAGACCACAACTGCGGTACATTCCCTTGACCGGAATCAAACCCGTGACTCACTGGTCCATGGGTCGATGCTCTAACACTGAGCCAAACTGGCCAGGGCTCAAGAAGCATATTTAAGTTGTATTTATGGTCCTAGGAATTCTAAGTATTACTTAATTGGCCAACTCAGATATTCAAAGAGGTCGAAGAATCCAACTTGCTTGTGTGGTTTCAGATTCTGAGGCCTGAGACCCTGCCTGCCAGTGGCCTGGGGCAGGGCCGAGGCAGGCGCAGGACACACCTGTGTGGTGTGTGCGCTGCTGCCTGGCGGTGCTAGAGCTCAAGTAACGTGTCACTGAGACGCTTGACCGCCAGGGAGTGGCCGGGAATGGGGCCTTCCTGGTGGCTGAGAGAGCCCAGCCTCCCTCTGGTCCAGGAGCACAGCCTGTGCGCCGCCAGCTCCGCCCCTGGGCCCCGCCCCTGGCCCCGCCCCTGCACTAGCTGTTGGCTACCCCGTTCACTGGCCGGGTCTGGCCTGCATGTTACCCGGTCTCTCCAGCTGTTTCTCATCTGGAGAACGGGGGTGATGCAGTCTCTGCTTCACAGGGTCCTGGGAGGGTTATGCCATAACATCCAGGGCCTAGCGGGGTCCCTGGAGATGATCGGATCGTGTGACGGAGTAGTGACGCTGCGAGCCGGCTCCTGCCCTAAACCACCGGATTCGTGAGAGGAGACAGGAGAAGGGGAGCGCTTCCGTGCTGTCCTGCTGTGCTTCGGGCTGGAGGGGCTTACATTCCTTGACCATTTCAAAGCTGTGTTTGCTCTTCATGTGTTTGGAGTATTCTCTCGTGACCACTTCTCAACACTGAGTCCACTTGGTGGGCCAGTCAGCGATGCCAGATGCTGTTGAAGGGGGAGGATTAGTGAGAACATCACCCAAGGTCTGTCCCACGGTGGGGGGGGGGTCCCGAAGCCCTGAGGTCCCTGCTGCCTTACTCCCGACTCTGGGGTCTGTTACTGTGTCTGTCTGAGAAGCCTCTGCCTGCGAATCGTGTCTCTGAAGCTTCCGTGAAACATATAATTAATTAATTGTATGTATGTATGTTAATTTCACAAAACAAATCATCACTATAAATTTTATTTTATTTTTTTATCCTCACTCGAGGACATTTTTCTATTTTTGTTCAGTAGAGTGGGAAGGAGAGAGAGAGAGAGAGAAGCATCAATGTGAAAGGGACACGTTGAGTGGCTGCCTCCACCCGACCCCAACCAGGGCTGGGGACAAATCACAACCAAGGTATGTGCCCTTGGTCTGAGGGCTGACGCTCTAACCACGGAGCAAACGGCCAGGGCAACTATGCATTTTAAAAGTTTAAATGTCACCCCAAGGCCTCTGGCCAGTGTGGCTTAGTTAGTGGGGCATCATCCTGTCCAGCAAAGGGTCGTTGGTTCAATTCCCGGTCAGGGCACATGGCTGGGTTGTCAGCTCGACCCCCAGTTGGGGTGTTCAGGAGGCAGCTGATGGATGTTTCTCTCTCTCCCCCTCTCTCTCTCCTCTCTAAAAATCAATTAAAAAATTTTTTTAAATGTCACTCTAAGGGAAAAATATATTGGAGAACTTTGTTTGCAAGTAGTATTCAGTTTCATGTGTGAAAACAAGTCAAGACATATATTTTATCGTAGAGACTAATTCTCTTCGGGTCATGTCACCGACACTTGGTCTATTCAGGGGGTGTCTGACCTCCATGTGGGTGCAGTGACTCGGGGGCAGTGACACTGTCCATCTCTCTGTGCCCTGGAGTCTCATGCAGGTGAAGCCCAGCTCCTTGCATACACTTTGCTCTCCAGCACCAATCCCTGCTGGGTGACAGACGCTAAACTAGAATAATTCCCAAGTCCTTCCACAGTCCGTCTCTGTCATTGTCAAAGTCATTCTCAGGTTGCTATGGTTATTCCCGGGGGTGATCAATAAATCATGCCATCACCCTCACCCCGTGCTAGGGGTGGGCGGGGAGAAGGCACTTCATCCTCCAGGAGAAAGCAGACCCACCGCTGCCGGCAATCAGTGTCGGAATCTGAAGCCTTAGCACTTAAACATCTTCACGAGATGTAAAGTCACGACTCAGAAGGGGCGAAATGCATACCAATGCGGATCCCCGCTCACCCGCCGGAGGATGCAGACTCCACAGGCTTGTACACAGCAGCACCGCGGGAAACAGCCCCTTGCCCACTGCAGGGTGCAGCTGTGTGGGTGTGAGTTAGAGACAGCAGTGAAGTGGTACTTGGTGCTACAGATTCAGTAGCACAGATGTTTTTGTTTTGTTTCTAATGGCATTAGCTGGTGAGGAATTCTTCAAGTGAAAGACTCCTCTTCCTCTAACTTCTACGGGAGAGGTAGGCGAGGGCACGCGGAGGGCGGGACAGCCGGAGAGGCACCTGCCTGCCGCTGGGGAGCTAGAAATACCTCTCACTAGAGGAGGCAGGTAGCTCCCCCGCGGGAGTGGTAACTGCAGTGAACACCTGAAGCACAGAGGCAGGGGGCCAGGGACAGTGTGTGCATCCTTCCCTCAGAATAGTGCAGGACAAGGGAACCTTGTTCTTCATCCAATAATGACCAGAATAACTCAAGTCGTCCACACCTGTTGGTGTGAAGAGTAACATCCTTGCCGCTCAGGGGGACTTTCAGTTTGGGTCTCTCAGAAGGAAACTGTGTGTGTATTTAGTATGTAACGTGTCCTGATAAGAAATCCTCCTTAGCCCTGGCTGGTTTGGCTCAGCGGTTGGAGCGTTGGCCTGCGGACCAGAGAGTCCCGGATCGGTTCCTGCTAGGGGCATGTACCCAAAAAAGAAAAGAAAAAAAAAAAGAAATCCTCCTTAGTGCTGCCCCTCTTCCCTCCTCAGATGTGGAAAAGTCGTTACCAAAACGGAGAGGTGCCCACCTGCTCGGGGAGAGAACGGCGTGTGTGTCGGCAGCCGTGTCCGACGAGTCGGTGGCTGGAGACAGCGGCGTCTATGAAGCGTTTGTGAAACAGTAAGGGTTCCTTTCCACAGGAGGGCTCTCCCGTCACCCACAGCCTCCGTGGCTGCGAGTGGCCACAGCCTGGGATGCTCTGCCGCCGTCAGGGCTGCGGCGTTGAAATGTGAGCCTGAACCTCTCAGTGCCGAAAACGCGCCTCCGGCCAGGGAGGTGACGAGCCTCTCTGAGACTTCAGACGTGAAGGAGATGTTGGCCACCACCTGCTCGGCACAAGCTTCTCGAGTGTTTCGGGGAGCCTGGCCTGTGTCCGGGGGTGCGGTGTACCCCAGGGAGGCTCAGGGAGGTCGGGCATCAGAAAGTCTTTCCCCTGATGGGTCAGAGACAGACTCCCCTTGACAAAGCGGAGAGATCTCAGGGTGCGTGTCCCTGAGCCCCACGGGGACGTGCAGGGTGCTAGGTCGGGCTTTCATGCAAACTGATCACGCGGCAGACAGTCACTGTAGCTGTGGAGAACCCATTAGTAAGCTGTTCTCCTGCGCCCCCGCCCGGTTCCCAGGCCCGGTGAAGCCGAAGATGTCGCCTACAGTGAAGAGGACGCCGCTGTCGTGGAGACTGCCCAGGTGCAGATTGGACTCAGGTAAGGGCCGGGCTGTGGGGGGCCTGGACCGCTGCGCAGTGCCCGCCTGGGCTCTTCCCTCCTTCATCAGCTTCTCTTTTGACAGATATGATGCAAAAAGGTCAAGTTTCACGGTGATTATAGCACAGCTCCGAAATCTTCACGCCTTCCTGATACCTCATACTTCAAAAGTGTAAGTAAAACCAGCGAACAGCAAATCAGGGGCTTACAATTATCCACATGGTCATTTTACACTGCAGTCCAGTCGTCCGTCCCGTGAAGGTGTGGAAACGTAGCAGGCTGGTCACGCCTTAGCCACCGTGGGTACAGACACGAAAGGGAGAATGTGCAATCGCACTCCGGGTTTCAGCTGTTGCTCAGCAATTCCTTATTAACAATAGGAACCAAGATGTTTTATTTATCTTCCTTTCAACCAGAAATTCTGTATCATGCTGGGGTGGGGCATGAGTGTTTAAAATACAATTAAAATTTTTGTCATTGCTGAGTCTCGACTACTTAGCATGGGCTTGGAGGGATTTTCTCATCGTTTACATGAAATGCAGAGACTAAGTTTTATCAGTGCAACATTGGAAACATCATGCTGCGTGTAAGACTATCATGTTTTTATCATCAAACATTCGCTTCCCTATGACCAGTAGTTTCTTTTTTTTTTTTTTTTCCCCAAGCCAAACTGTATCCAGCTTTACTAAGGATACTTTTCATAAACAGTCATAGTGTTTCAGGCAGGACATGGGCAGACGTTAACAGTAGGCAACAACTTTCCAGCTCCCTTCAGTGGGCCTCCCAAACCAGAAAGCCACTGTGAAGCCCAGCGGAGCCTCCATCTGCTGCTCCGAACAGGGAGAGTTTCGAGTGGGGGTTGACATTTCACATTACGCATGTTGTTTAACAGCTTCTCACGAGCCGACCCCGACTTTCAGGGAATGAAATGAAAATGACAGAATTATCCCCTGTAGATCCACAGTCTACAAAAGGAACTGCTGCTCCCTAGAGGGACGCCATCTCAGTGGCGACACTGGACAGTCCAGATGGCCCAGCACACTGTCCCAGCAGGTCTCTGGGCTTCAGGGAGCCAAGTCTCTGCCTGGAGGGAGAGGGACATAGAAACGGATTTTAGTATTCCCACACCTCAAGGTGTTTGCGCCAAGGTGGCTACCGTGGGTCAACATCCAGGGGTCCCTCCTCCCAGGAACCAAGAGCAAGTCTCTCAAAACCAGAAGAGAGAGGTGTTTTTCCCCATGTCCGCCCAGCTTTGGAGACATTCCATTAGTACTGTATGTCCTAACCCCACCCAAACAGCAATGAAGTGTTCTGTGTGCTAACCACATAGCTTAAACAAAGTAAAACAAAATTCTGCATTTTTATAAAACTTGATAAAAAAAAAAAAAATTTCCAACTGTGCAGTCACCAGAAATACACAGCATCAGAAATGCACACTTCATGTGGCGTCTTCAGCACCTGCAGCTCCAGGCCGTCTGTTGGGCATCTCCGTTCTTGCCAGCACCCACTCTTCCCATTTTCCCTTTGGATACCTTCTCTCCCTGCTTTGCAGGGGCCCTTTTAGCTTGGGCTTTGGCTTTGGAGGAGCAGGTTTAGCTGAAAACCTGGCGGATCTTCTCTGAGGTTCGTCCTTCGCCTTGGCTTTATCCCCTTTGCTTAGCATCCCCTTCAGCCTTGCTCTCGGGCATGATGGCGACGGGGGCCGGACTGCGGGCTGGACACGGGGCTGCAGCAGCGCGGGGGCTGTGGTCGGTCCAGGCTCGTCCTTGCCTCTTCACACTGCTCCCAGTAGCTTCCTAAAGTTGTTTCACTTCATTTCACATCATGAAACCATGAATCCCAAGGGAGTGGCGGCATAACGCCGCGCGGTTTATAGTTTCCTGGCAGGTATCTCCAGAGATCTCATCACCCTTCACACTCCCTGGAGTCGGGGTCTTGGACTCTCTCAAGGGCCCGTGGCTGTAAACTAGCAGGGAGAACCCAGGTTCCACCTGAGCGTGTCTGAGTTAGAGTCCCCGGACTCTGAGTGCACCCTGCACTTAATGATGCGTTGACTGTGCCGGGACAAGGGCCTGGGAATAAGGAAGAGCTGCTGGGGCCCTGGCCAGGTGATTCAGTTGGTTGGAGCATCGTCCTATGCACCAAAAGGTTGTGGGTTCAATTCCTGGTCAGGGCACATACCTGGGTTGCAGATTTGATCCCTACTTGGGGAGCATGCGGGAGGCAACTGATCCATATTTCTCTCTCACATCAATGTTTCTCTCTGTCTCCCTGCCTCCCTCCTCTCTCAGATTAATAAAGCATATCCTCGGGTGAGGATTAAACATTTTAAATAAAAAGAGCTCCTGGGGGGTGACCCTCAAGACTCTACCCAGCCAGGTTGATGTTCTCCTTCATGATACCGTATGTTCCTCAATGAGAAGGACGTTTAATAGAGTAGACATAGGAATTCTGGATGTTTTTCCTGTGGGTTTCCTCTTTGTTTTTAATTTTTCTTTTAAGTTCACATCCTGATCTTCTAAAAATTGTCAGAATAGAAGGCGGATCTAAGAAGCAGACCTCAGGGAGATTGCCTAGTGGGCAGAGCTGGCGGCTGTTGATCACCCAAGCTGGAGGGGAGGAGGGCTCCCAGAGGGGAGTGGGCTCCGGACCTCCTGGAGTCGAGTTCTGGGGGATCCACATTCTTAGGCCACCAGCAAGGAAGGGAGGCACGTGGGGGAGTGGCTAGATCACCCCGGAGCCTGCCTCCGGCCTGAGGCCAGGAGCCCGCGGCAGAGCCCAGGGAAGGCCGGCTCCGCGGTAGGGCTGGGGCCGTGTGGGACGTCGGGAGTGCGCGGGCGGCACATCGGGAGAGGACAGGTCTGCCGGGGATGGCATCTGCGAACAGGGAGAGCCAGCCACAGGTTCAGGAGAAACTACAGAACTCCTCCAGACGCGTCCTTTCTTTAAACTCACTGCAGGGCGGGCATCCCCAGACGTTACCGCTGCAAACCAATGACTGTCCCTCCCACGTACCCCGTCGAAGTCACAAACAGGTGCCCTCTGGAGGTGTGGTGGCAGCCAGGGTAGGTCAGGACCAGGCTCAGCAGTGAGGACGGCAGGCGCTGCTCCCCAGCATTGTGCAGGGGCCCGTCTGGGGTCTGAAACTTCCTGCGACGCAGAACCTCGATCTCGAGCCTCTCAGGGACCCCTCGCCCAGACCACGGCGCTGCTGAAGACGAGGGGACACGGCCTCAGAACAGTCCTTCCTTTCCTCTCTCCAAGCTCACTTCCTGATTGTGATTTACAAGCAGCAGGTGTGCGTGCTGGTCAGCACGGCCCCGTGTTCCTGTGAGGGGCTCCCGACTCAGCTTGGAGAGAAGCCCCCCCTTCCCTGTGCTGTTAGCTCCCAGCCATGAACAGCCTGGGTTCACGGGCGACATTGCAGGGTCCCGTAAGGGGCAGTGAGGCCGCTGGTACAGGGTACAGCTGACGTCTGGGGGAGCAGGCTCCTCCCTCCATCCAGCCTGATGCGGCTTTTCCGTGAAGGCAGAGAACAGTTTCTGCTGAGTCTACGGCCTTCCCGGCCGCGGCCAGGTCCACTAGGGTTAGCGCAGCATCTCCATGGTCAGTGTTTATATAGATCCAGAAAGGATGCGACCCCCTCCCGCCGCATGTGCGCTCAGCTTCCGTCCTGGAGGAAGACGCCCTCAGACGTGAGCCCGGCGGGCCTGGTGAGGGGCGGGCAGGTGCAACGGGCCTGCCCTTCCTGGGATTTAAAAGACAAAATCTCATGCGGGTTCCAAGAATTCCGAGTCCTCATATAACGTGTGCTCAGAAAATTCTCTTTAAAGTAGCCTTAGAAGTTATTCTTTTCGCTAACTCTTCTGAATTTTGCAAAGCAGAGGTCTCTTAAGACAGTTCCTCATTCCGGATACTTCTGTGATGCTAGACAGTGATACTTCTGGACTGTTGAATTTCATCTGTTTTGCATTCTTGTCACAACATGCTCCTCAGCCCTTTCTCGACTAGGATGACACGTTCCATTCCTGGGACACGATTATTGACGTCTCTCATTAAATACTTGGACATGGTCACCTAGGGTATCCCTACCTTCCCAGGCCCGGCTCAGAGGTCACTTACTTTGGAGGTGACTGCCACGGGCAGGTGGGACGTTCGATTGGTTTGTCCCACGGGCTACGCTCCCCTTCGCGTCCTGTCATGTCCTTGGCTGTATTTCTTTCCTCCGCAGACACTTTCAGACGGTCACTATGAATCCAGCGTCGCTGAAGAGCCTGAGACCCGTTCCGCTCTCTCGTCCTCTGCAGGTACCTCAGGGTTGCTCTGCTCCCCTCCTCAGCAGATGTCAGCTGTCTGTTTCGAACGAAAGTCCATCCGGCCACGGAATCCCTTCTGTTCAATGACATGTTCCGCGTGGCCATTTCCCTGACGGCCTTGCAGCAGAAGACGCTGTGGGTGGACCTGTGCTGTGTGAGCACTCACCGGAGAGAGGGGTGCCTGGTGGGTTCCTGGCCCCTGGCCTGGGGCGCTCCCATCGCAGGGTTCGAGGGGGTCGGGTCGCGGTCACCAGCCCTGTCACCGCAGATCTGCCCAGTGCCTCAGCACACCCAGCGGTGTTTTGGTTTCCTCTGCAGGAGGGATTTCGGGTTTTCATTCTCTTATTCCAGACCTTTAACATCTGCCTATACGTGGTGGTTTTTTGTAAAATCTACTTTTCGTTTTTACCCTTTGGGTGAAGAAGCACTTTGACCTCTGTTCTGTCGCCACAGAGTATGTTTATCCTCAGTACCAGTCTTATGCTGGGTGCTTGGCATACAGCTCATTAAATCCTCACCACTGTCTATGAAAAGGGTATGATTAGCCCTGCTTTAGATAAAGAACTGCTGAGAGAGGTAATGTGTTCACCCAGCTACCAAATGAGACATCCCCACACAGAATTCACACTTACAAATGGAAACTGGGCAGAATACGGAGTATATAGTTCCTTTCTTCAGCTCATTTTCCACAGTGGCGGAGCCCTGGGGACACGTACGCGTTGCTGTTTAGGGTGATGTGATGCTTTTTTTTTTTTTATCCTCACCCGAGGACATTTTTCCATTTTTTGTACAGATAGAGTGGGAGGGAGAGAGAGGAAGAGACAGAGAGAGAGAAACATCGACGTGAAGGAACACATCGAGTGGCTGCCACCGCACGACCAACCAGGGCCGGGGACAAACTGCAACCGAAGTACGTGCCCTTAGCGGGAACCGAACCCGGGTCTCTCCGGACCGCAGGCCGACGCTCTAACCACTGAGCCAAACCGGCCAGGGCGCAATGTGATGCTTAAATGCGAAAGACCTCATACAGCTAATAGTGAGTGTAACTCACATTGTACGTCATAAGCGGAAAACCATTTCACACCAGTAAAATACCGTATTGAAATGTGTTAAAAATAAAAAGTGGGCCCGGCCGGTGTGGCTCTGTGGTTGAGCATGGACCCCTGCACCAAGAGGTCACTGGTTCGATTCCCAGTCAGGACATATGCCCAGGTTGTGGGCCCGATCCCCAGTGGGGGGCATGCAGGAGGCAGCCAATCGATGTTCTCTCTCATCGATGTTTCTATCTCTCTCTCCCTCTCCCTTCCTCTCTCTCTAAAATCAATAAAGGGAAAAAAAAGAAAGAAAGAAAACAGTCAGTCTGTAACCAAACTTTTCTCTGCAGTACAGTAACAAACACAAAAACACATGTTTCATGATGCACAAAGTTGAAAAGAGTAAAAGATCTCTTATTAATATTTTTTTACTATATATAAAATATCTGATATTGCCTGACAATAAAGAAAGTTATAAAGAAGCAAAGATAATAGACTCATTAGGTTGACAGAAAGACTTAGTATATAATAGATATACTGTCAGCAGCTCCATACACTAATAAATATGTTCATTGATAGTCTTGTAAAATGATACAGTTTACTTTAGATTCTGGATGCTATGTGTGATTTGGTGGCATCTGAAAGTTTTTAACCTTTATTTATTTGTTTTTTACGTTCTTATAACTTACTTATCCAAAGAAAACTTTCAGTAATTTCTCATTTAAGAACCACAGTGGAGTTTTTATTTGTTTGTTTTTAAATTTTTCAGTGGACAATGGATTTTTGTAAATAATAATCATATCACCCATCGCATATTATAAGATGTATTATGGTTTGCACTTAGCCATTTGTTTTTTTAATTTTTGTTTCAACTTTTTATTTAAAAATCATTTACACGTACAGAATGTTACATGCTTAGTCATTAGGTTTTGGCTAAACAGTATCTCACAGAACAACTCCGAGCTGGCTTTTAGATTGGGGTCATTTCTTATTTAGTCACACCTGAAAATATAAAACATCTTCAGGTTTAAAAAACATCTACTAATGCTTTTATATCATGGATATCACTTTTTTTTACCCTACAACAAGTTTGTTCAATAATCTTACTTATATCAGGAGCAAGTATGAATGTAAACACTTTATTTTCTCTCTCTTTTTTTTTTCCTCACTTCACATAGGCTGGGACTCAGATCAGTCTGGCTGATTTACCGTTTTCCAGTGAGATTTTCACTCTGTGGTATAACTTGCTGCCTTCTAAGCAAATGCCTTCCAAAAAGAATGAAGAAGAAAATGAGGATTCTGTATTTCAACCAAACCAGCCATTCGTGGATCCTATAGATTTGGTGAGTCAGAATTAGAGAAGAAAGTCTTTGTGACTTAATAAAATAACACGGGGTATAGAATGCTGGGATACCAACGTGTTTTTATTCACTTTTGCCATCCTTCCTTTTCTCCCAGCTTCCTACAACAGAAATAAAGATCACTTCCAGCTCTGTTTCAAGTACAGTTTGTAAAAGAATCACTTGTTTCTGCTCACACTTCCTTCCATAAAAGTAAACTGATGGAGAGGCTTCATTGCTTTATGCGACCATGTAACACCTTTTGAATTGAGTTGATACTTTTATACATTGTATTCATGGCCAGGGAGCACATTTAAAACTGTTGTATTTTTGCAAAGGTCAAAAATCATTAAGCCTCAACAGTGTCTCGGTTTCCCTTTGTAACATCAATCTCCACAAATAATTCTATTAAAAAGTGTGTTGTAACAATAGTCATATTTCAGCGCTTCAGAACATTTTACAAAGGGGCGTAACATGAGGCCGTTTATCACCATTTGGCATCTGTGGATGTTGTTACTGAGTTCAGATTTATTTTAGATTCTCTACGAGGAAAGATTTTACTAAGCTTGGGTCATAATTAAAGCGGCCGTGCTCAGTTGATCCTCTGAGTGCAGGAGCCTACAGTGGGCATTGTGGTCGGTGGGAAAGGGAAATGGATGGATTGGTAGAGCTCATACCACACGCCCGGGTTTCTGGTAGAACTCAGCGAGGCTTTAGGAATGCTTTAATAATGGTCCCCCTGTGTGTGAGTATTTTTAACAGCTGTATGCAATATAATTCACATTCCATACAGTTCACCCATTTAAAGGGTACAGTTCGCCCATTTGAAGCACACGATTCAATAGTTTTTAGTTTATTCACAGACTTGTGCAACCATCACCAAAATCTAATATTAGAATATTGTCATCATCCCAAAAGGAAGCCCGTACCCTTTAGCTAGCAGTCACTCCCGGTTCTCCCTGACCCCGTTCACACAAGACAGCCACTGATCTTTCTGTCTGTATAAATTTGCTTATTAAGGACATTCCACATACATGGAGTAATACCATATTTGTTCTTTTGTGACTGTCTTCTTTCACTTAGCATGATGTTTTCAACATATATCCATGCAATAGCATGTATTAGTACCTCATCCCTTGTTGTTTCCAAATAATATTCCTCTGTAAGTATATACTACATTTTATGTATCTGTTCATCAGCTAATGGGCATTAGGGCTGTTCATACTTTTTTACTATTAATAATGCTGCTGTGAACATTGTATACAAGAGTTTATATGGACATGTGTATTCATTTCTCTTGAGTGCCTACCTGGGAGTGAAGTTGTTGGGTCATGTAATTCCACGTTTAATGTTTCGAGGAACTGCCAAACTGTTTTCCGAAGTGGAAATTCTCACCAACAATGTATGTGGATTCCAGACTCCCACACCCTTGCCCATGTTGTTAATGTCTTTTAAAAAATAAATAAATAAAAACATTTTTTCTTTATCAGTTTTAGAGAGAGAAAGGGAGAAGGAGAGGGAGAGAGAAACATCAATGAGAGAGAACACCGATTGGCCGCTTCCTGCACGCCCCCCACTGGGGATCAGGCCCACAACCTGGGCACGTGCCCTGACCGGGAATCGAACAGCAACCTCTTGGTGCCTGGATCCATGTCAACCACTGAGCCACACCGGCCGGGCGTAATCTGTCTTTTTTATTCTAGACATACTAGTGGGTGTGAAGTGGTATCTCTGTGGTTTTCATTCACACTTCCCTAATGACTAATGATGCTGAGCATATTTTCATGGGCTTGTTGGTCATTAGTATATCTTTTTTTTTTTTTTTTTGAGAACTCTCTATTTAGCTCCTTAGTTTATTTTTTAAATGAGTTATTTTATCTTTTTATTTTTGAGTTATGAGAGTTCCTCATATATTTCTGATATGTCTCTTACCCAGTAAATAATTTGCAAATATTTTCTCTCATTCTATGGGTTATCCTTTCACTTTCTTGATGGTTTCGATTGCAGTAAAGTTTTAAATTGTGATAAAAGTCAATTTGTCTGTTTTTTTCTTTTATCGCTTGTATTATTGATGTTATATCTAAGAAGGCTTTGCTAAACCTAACATCACAAAGATTTACTCCTGTGTTTTCTTCTGGGAGTTTCAAAGTTTAGTTTCATTTTTAGGTCTCTGATTCACTTGTTTTTATGTGTGACATAAATAATGGGTCCAGCCCTGGCCGGTTTGGCTCAGCGGTTGGAGCATCAGCCTGCGGACCAGAGAGTCCTGGGTTCAGTTCCCGATAGGGGCACGTACCAAAGAAAGAAAAAAAAAGAATGGGTCTTAGTTCATTCTTTTGTACATGGGCACACAATTGCCCCAACACCATTCTTTCCCCCATTGAATAATCTTGGCACCCTTGCTGAAAATCAATTGACCATAGGTGTGAGCATTTATATTCTGGACTCTGAATTCTGTTCCATTAATCTAATGTCTGTATTTATGCCAGTGCAACACTGCTTTGATTACTGTAGTTTAGTAGTTATTTTGAAATCAGAAAGGATGAGTCACCATCTTTGGTTTTCTTTTTCAAGATGGTTTGGGCTGTTCAGGGTCCTTTACATTTTCCATATGAATTTTAGTACCAGTTTGTCAATTTCCAAAAAAGACAGCTAGGATTTTGATAGAAATTGCATTGAGTCAGTAGGTCAGTTTGGAGGTATTGTCATCTTAACAGTGTCAAATCTTCTGATCCATGAATACAGGGTGTCTTCCCATTTATTTAGGTCTTCCTTAATTTCAACAATGGTTTGTAGTTTTCAGAGTCCAAGTTTACATTGCTTTTGTTAATTTTATTCTTTTTCTGTTTTTTAATCCTCACCGAGGACATTTTTGCATTTATCTTCAGATAGAGCTGGAGGGAGGGAAGGGGGAAGAGAGAGAGAGAGAGAAACATTGATGTGAGAGGGACACATCAAGTGGCTGCCACCCACATGACCCCAGCCAGGGCTGGGGACAAACTGCAACCAAGGTATGCGCCCTTAGCGGGAACCGAACCCGGGTCTCTCCGGTCCTCAGGCCAACGCTCCAACCGCTGAGCCAAACCGGCCTGGGCTAATTTTATTATTTGATACTCTTGTAAATAGAACTATATTCTTAATTGCATATTCAGACTATTCATTGCATAATTAATTTATCTTGTATCTTGCAACCTTGCCAAACTCATTTATTAGTTCTAATAAATTTTTAGTGGATTCCTTAGGATTTTCTATGTATAAGATTATACCTTCTGAAAACAGAGTTACTTTACTTCTTCCTCTCCAGTTGCTTTGTACTTCTTATTCTTGCCTGTTTTCCCCGGCGAGACTTTCCAGTTCAATATTGAGGACGTGGTGAGAGCAGGCATCCTGTCTCGTGCTCACCTTCGCAGGGAAGTGGTCAGTTTCTCGCTGCTGTGGTTTTCGCTGTGGATATTTTGTAGATGTCCTTTATCAGACTGAGGAAGTCGTCTTCCCAGTTGGCTGAGTGTTTTTAACCATGAAAGGTTATTGGATTTGACAGGAGCTTTTCAGCGTCTATTGAGATGATCATATGTTTTCTGTCCTATATCCTATTTGGATGGTCTTATTGACTTTTATTTATTTATTTATTTTTATCCTCACCCGAGGACATTTTTTTTATTTTTTGTTCAGGTAGAGTGGGAGGGAGAGAGAGAGAGAGAGAGAGAGAGAAACATCGACGTGAAAGGGACACGTCGAGTGGTTGCCACCCAAAAACCCAACCAGGGCCGGGAACAAACTGCAACTGAGGTATATGCCCTTAGCTGGAACTGAACCCGGGTCTCTCCGGGCCACAGGCTGACGCTCTAATCGCTGAGCCAAACTGGCCAGGGCGGATGGTCTTATTGACTTTTAGATGTGAAGTCAATCTTGCATTCTTAGAATACATCTCCTCTTGGTCATGGTGTATAATCCTTTTTACATGTTATTAGATTTAGTTTTCTTTTTTATTTTTCTTGAGGACTTTTTTGTCTATATTCATCATTTTCTTGTGAGATCTTTGTTTGGTTTTGATATCAGGGTAATTCTGGCCTCTTTGAATGAGTTAGGAAGTGTTCCCTCCTCTTCTACCTTTTGGAAGAGCTGGAGAAGAATTGATATGAATTCTTTAAGTGTTTGGTAGGATTCACCACTGAAACCATCTGGGCTGGGATTCTTCTTTGTGAGAAGTTTTTTCTGTAATAATTCAGTCTCTTTACGTGTTATAAGTCTATTCGGAATTTGTGTGTGTGCGTCAATTTGGGTCTGTGTCTGTCTAGGATCTTGCCCTTTGCAATGAGATTATCTGGTTTGTTGGTACACAGTTGTTCATAGTGTTCCCTTGTAATCCATTTTATCTTTGTAAAGTTGATCGTGACGTCCCCTCTCTCATTGCTGATATTAGTAATTTAAGCCTTTAGGCTATTTTTCTTGGTCAGTTTCTCTAAAGGTTTATCAGCTTTTTTGACCTTCTCAAAGTACCAATTTTTATTTTCATCGATTTTCTCTAATAGTTCTCTATTCTCTGTTTCATTAGTTTATAGTCTAGTCTAGTCCTTTGATTGCTTTAGGTTTATTTAGCTTCTTTTCCATGTAGGAGGTGAGGTTACTGGTTTGAAATCTTTTCCCCTTTTTTATTATAGGTCCTGACAGCTACAGGTTTCCCTCTGAGCACCACTTCAGTGGTATCTCAAATTTACCATATTGTGTTTTAATTTTCACTCATGTCACAGTGTTTTGTAATTTTCCTTGTGACTTCTTTGACTCATTGGTTATTTATGAAAGTGTTAATTTCCTATTTCTTTCTGTTATTGAATTATAATTTTATTACAATGTGGTCAAAGGACATATTTTGTATTATTTCAGTCCTTTTAAATTTATTGAGGCTTGTTTATGGTCTAGCATATGATCTATCCTAGAGAATATTCCATGTGCATTTGAGAAGAATGTATTTTCTGCTGGGCCAGGTGTTTTGTAGTGTTTCTTAGGTTCGTGAATGAATAGTATTCCATTGTATGCATGTATCACATCTTCTTTGTCCAGTCACCTGTCAAAGGACACAGGTTGTCCTTGTCTTGGTTATGTGAATAATGCTGCAGTGAAGGTGGGGATACCTATATCTTTATGAATAAATGTTTTTAGATTTTGCAGGTATTGATCTTTAAGAGGAAATGCCTCTTTTTTCCCTTTCACCACTTGTAAAATTTCCTCTTTTTCTTTGATTTTCAGCAATTTCACTCTGATATGCTAATGTGATTTGTATGTGTGTTTATTCTAGTGAAATTCTCCATCATTTCATGGGAGTTCCTAAACATTTGAATTGTAAAATTTTGAATTTTTTCTCTATGTAGAATATATGGATCGGCTGTGGGTCTGTCTCTTTTGTCTGTTGTTTCTCTTAGCTTTCAGTCACTAGGTCCTGTTGTCAGTGGAATACTGGATGTTATGTATGAAGAATTATAGCCCTGGCCAGTTTGGCTTAGCGGTTGGAGCGTCAGCCCACAGACTAAAGAGTCATAGGTTCAATTCCAGTCAAAGGCACATACTTCGGTTGTGGTTTGATCCCGGGCCCTGGTCTGGGTCATGTGGGAAGCAATCAGGTGCGCCTCTCTCACATCAATGTTTCTCTCTCTCTCCCTCCCTTCCACTCTAGCAAAAAAAAAAAAAAATCTATGGAAAGATATCCTTGGGTGAGGATTAAAAAAAAAAAAAGAATTATAGAGGCTCTGGCTGATAGCTTTCTGCAGAGAGGATGCAGTATTCTCCTGGAAGGAATATTACAATGTGGGCAGATCACCTGGATCATTTGGAGGATCTGAATTCCGGTTTTTCTCTCCCTAGGATGATGAGATGACCAAGATACCTACTTACTGGTTTAGCCTCCCGCTAACTGGTTTTGGCTTTGTTTCTCAGCTTCTCACTGCACATTTGCAGCTTAGGAATAGCAAATGCCTCGATTGTAATACTGTGCAGAAAATTGGGCTTACGTTAGAGTCATCTTCTTTGGTCCCTTACGTGCTGACTGCATGGTAATTCTCCACCCAGGTTTCCTCTCTGCATTCCACCAACACTGCCACCGTCTGGGCAGCCACTGTCTGTTCGGTCTGCGTGCCTCACCTCTAGAACTGAATGCCCCCAAGGGAAAAGAGTGGCAGTGATGGTCGCTCACCTCCTTGCATTTCCCTTCTGCCTTGGACCTTGGTCCTCTAGTCCCGATTGCCTTCGTGGCTCCTCATGCTTTAAAACAGCTGGAGGTTTTGTTTGTTTGTTTTTCCCTTTTAATTATATTTTATTCACCTTTCATATTCTCAGCAGGAGAACTGGGTCTCGTACTAGCTTCTTTTTCACAACCGGAAGTCCCCATCTGATGAGTTTTTGAGTTATTTCTGGAAGGGTATGCTGTTAACTGCCGCATGTCTTACATTCTCCAGGACGCAGTGTCAGCCTTACTTGCAAGAACGTCGGCTGAGCTGCTGGCTGTGGAACAGGAATTGGCCCAGGAAGAAGACGAGGAACCAGGGCAGGGAGAAGAGCAAAGGGGTCCGGATGGAGATTGGTAAAACACTCTCCTCCTTTTGCTGTTGGGAACTCAAAGGGGATGCATTTAGTTCCTCATAAGAAACTTTCGGGGAAACCTTGACGGGTTCAGATCTCATTCTGGAATCACAGTGGGCAGGGCAGCCTCAAGGAGCTGTCCCCAGAGGAACAGCTGTCCTTGGTCATTCGAGAGCTGAAGGAGGTAATGACGAGATGGTGGGTGAAGTTAACACATGACTGAGACTCTTGTTCTTCGGTAATTTTAAACACCATTTCCTGAGCTTTTTAAACTTTAAGTGTAAACCGCCTATTTTGAAAGGTGTGGTAGTTTTTGTAGATTTACAGATAAGTTTTAAAACCGGCTCTCTTTTCCTTTAAACTATCAGAAGTACCGTCGAGGCTTTGGCCAGTCAAAGCAGATGTTTAGGAAACACCTTCTGAGTCATCATTTCTCTCCACGTTCGCCTTTGTTTTGTTGTTGTTCTCTGCTGATTATTCATACCCCATCCTTTTAAAAAAAGGGGGTGAGGATAGGTTATTATAGCTGTGGTCTAGATTCATGTATGTATGAAGCACAATATCTTACCTGGTTTGTACTGTTTTCTCTAAAATCAGATTTTAGTGGCTGCATCTATTTTTTAAGTATACACGTAAAATTATTTGAGTGAACTTTATATATAGTTGCTTTTACTGTTAGTTTTGATTGAACTACTATTAATACATGTGCATATACATATATAACATACATTTTTGTGTATGTGTGCATATAAAACTTTTTAAAAATTAGAATGACAGGATATATCATAAATAACAGGAGCATGGACATTTGGAAGGCACAGCTTACTATGCTGATGTAAAAAGTACAGATGTGCTTTGTTCTTATCAAAAGCCCTTCATCATGAATAAAAATCAGAGCACCGCAAAGATAAATAAATAAATAAAAACATGAGAGTGATGATGTTTCGTCAAAGTATCTTTAGAGAATAAGCCTTCCTTGTGTATGTAAAATGCAATCTGTTTCACACACATTTCAAAAATAACACTCAGCATGTAGCAGAAAGGAATGTATAACTCCCAGTATTTCTTGCTGGTTCCCTCTTCTTCATTTCATGACTAGCGTTTAATTACTAGTCTAGGCCACTTTGACAGTATGTCCCCGATCACAGTTAAAGCTCAACTTCTAGTTGGTAAAGACAGTGTTTGCATTCTAAGGCTAGGGAACTCCACAAAGCGTGAGGGACTCCAAACCACAACGGTGCTCTTGCGTTCCTGCCAATAGAGTTTACACAAAATAGAATCCGTTGTGATGCCCCACCTGTAATGCCACCCAAGCCCATGCCGTGGCTTCTGTTGAAGGCAAGGTCCCCTGGCCCGAAGAGTGTTCTGTTATTTCAGCAGTAAAACTCCCTTCCCACAGGATCTGACCCTGCTGGACCGTGAGCACAGCACAGTTGATACTTATTCATGTCTCTGTTCACTCTGAGCAGAGTCCCTCTCTTCCCCTGTATGATTAATTTCACAAGAAATGAACAACTAACACCAGGTTCTATTAGAGTGAGGGACGATATTTTTAATAGCCAGAGCTAAACTTTATATTTGATTTTCAGTCTACTTCTATTTTAATCTCTAGGAATTAGGTCAAATTTCAGGAATCTAACTTTTTAGTACCTAACTAGGGTGATTTTGCTGTAGATCGCTAGAGATCATTTTATTTTTCACAGTCGTTTTAGTACAAATGGCTTGAATCGTGATGTGTCTGTTGTTCCTTGCCCCGATGACCGGTGACCGTGCCCAGGTGGCACTGTTCTTGGGCACGCTGGCTCGACTCACAGCGTGTCTTGTTTTACTTCACCGAAGGCTAACAATGCTGAGAGAGGCCTCCGATGAAATAGTGGCCGAAGAAGAGGCTGCTGTTACCTTGCCGGAGGGCGGTAGCCAAACAGAAGACTTGAGCTCGTGCCCGAGTGTGCCTGGGACTAATGAAGACACCAGTAGGGGAGGAAACAGCTGTGCCAGAGGCCTGGGAAGTCAGCCGCCTCCTGCAGTGCCCACGCTGGTGAGTGTTTCCAGCGACTGCCTGTGGCACAGCTCTCCTGGGCACCCGTCGACGAGGTGTGTCCCTTCAGGTGTAATTCCATACTACGACTGCGTGTGGAAGCTGACCGTGACTGGCATCCATGGGAGCAGGCCTTGGGAACGCTTCGAGTTTTTAAATGGGCCCAACTATTCCTTCTCCACTTAACTTGTATATAAGAAGTAGTGCTAAGTAGACCTTGGTAACTGTTCTGTGAATGTTTATTAAAAGCATTTTCAGAATTTCCTGGATAACACCAGGATACTACCTGATTGTATGAAGTTTCAGAAATGTTGTGAGTGTCTTTCCATTTCAAACATGCAGTAAACATTTCAGGTTCACCTTGGTCAGATGGTGCTCTGATCGACATCTCTTCTGGAAGGTGGCAGGTGACCCAGTTCAGGCACAGGCGCCGGCCAAGTTATTAAGCACTTGACTTTGCTAGTTAAGTGACAGACATGTCGGGGGGAACTATTTTCAAGCTTTGAGGAGGCCAGCAAACTTGGGACGTTGTAACAAGTTTAGACAATTTCAGTCCTTTATTCCCAAGAAGAAGGATGCCACATGTACCCTGACGGAAGACTTCATTTGGATGTATATGTGTAATTGTGTATTCTATGAAACCTATAACTTTGTAGTGTATTTTCAGTTTCATATATTTAATTACTTTTATCATTGATCCTGAGGGAAAAAAGAGAATCAGTTGAATGATGTTTAATGGTGAGACACGCCCACGTGAGGCTGTCTGCAGAGCCTGCTGGCCTCTGTGAACTAAACACGCTTTAGGCCTGAGCCCTCGGCGTGGGGTGGCCCTGGGGTTCCCACCGGGAGTGCACCTGCCCCCGTGCCAGATGAGTCTCTGTGGCAAAGTTAGACATTTCTTAGAAGTACGGGGCGTAAATGTATCCATGTGTATCAGCTGCTGACGAAGGCCTTCTGTTCCAGGTCGATAAAGAGACAAACACGGATGAGGCCGAGGACGCCAGCGTGGCGGTTCGGCCCAAAGAGCGCGGCGGGCTGAGCGCGCGGCAGCGCCCCCTGGTGAGGAGCAGCGTGATCGTGCGCTCGCAGACCTTCTCCCCGGGGGAGCGCAGCCAGTACATCTGCCGGGTAAGGGATGCTCCCTGCGGGGCCTGTGCATGCCTGTGCAGTGGGGAACCTCACATTCCGACTGCAGATACGCACGGCTAGAAATGCTTTTATAAAATACACATAAATATCACACTCTTGTGGTTCTTTTTAGTTTGGGTTTGGGGGTTATTTTCCCCCTTTTTCTAAATGTAATGTCTCACTAGCTCAAGTTTCATTTATTTGGCAAATGAGTGAAATTAGAGGCCTGGCTGCTAAGTATATCTGGACTTCAGTCCATCTTTAGAAACTTAAAGTGACTTGAGATTTACTACTTTGTATTTTTTTTTTTTTATCCTCACCCGAGGATATTTTTCCATTTTTTTTTTGTACAGACAGAGTGGGAGGGAGAGAGAGGAAGGGAGAGAGAGAGAGAAACATCGACGTGAAGGGACACATCGAGTGGCTGCCACCCACACGACCAACCAGGGCCGGGGACAAACTGCAACCGAGGTACGTGCCCTTAGCAGGAACCGAACCCGGGTCTCTCTGGATTGCAGGCCGACGCTCTAACCGCTGAGCCAAACTGGCCAGGGCAAGATTTACTACTTTGTAGATCTCTGCTGTGTACCACTCACCATGTTAGCTGGACCAACAAAAGTGAATTGGGTTTTAGAACAAACTTATCATTTAGTAATGGCTCTAGACAGAGAGTCAGGTTCGTGGTTCTGGGGAGAGTGGTTGTGGATTCGCACCAATTTACCCAAATCTATTTCCAGTAGTATCTATGATTTATTTATTTATTTTATTATTATTTTTTTTAATCCTTACCCGAGGACATTTTTGCATGTATCTTCCGATAGAGTGGGAGGGGAGGGGGGAAGAGAGAGAGAGAAACATCAATGTGAGAGAGACACATCGAGTGGCTGCCACCCACACGACCCCAACCAGGGCCAGGGACAAACTGCAGCTGAGGTATGTGCCCTTAGTGGGAACCAAACCCAGGACTCTCCAGTTCACGGGCTGATACTCTAACCGCTAAGCCAAACTGGCCAGGGCTATGATTTATAGTAATATAGGTTTACTACTATAAAATGAATTAGAAAATACATTAAAATGTATTCATTCGATTCCACACGTTTTTATTAAACACCTGCTATTGAGCATATTTCTAGATACTGCTTGGGATTTGTCTGTGAACAAGAGAGCCAAGCTCTGCCCTTGCAGAACCTGCATTCTTGGGAGTCGAGCCAGCCAATAAGCAGTTGACACGATGTCTTGGATGGAGACCAAGGCTGTGAAAACAAGGGTTGGGAATGGTAGGGTTCAGAGTAGGCTTCTTTGATAAGGTGACATTCCACAAAGACCTGAAGCCGGCGAGGGAGTGAGGATGGGCTCTCTGGGGTGAGACTTTTCTAGTTTGTGCAAACTGCGTCTTAACTCTGATTCTGAGCTCTGTACATCAGCCTTTCTTTTAACAAGGAATATTGCAGAATAGCTGAAAATACAAGGGACCACTTTATTTCAGAGTGTGTATAATTCTCTTAGCCCATGACTTCGGAGAGCGGCCACCAAAAGGCAAGTGTTTATTTTTTTTAATCCTCACCCAAGGACATTTTTCCATTTTTTGTTCAGATAGAGAGGGAGAGAGAGAGAGGAAGAGAAACATTGACGTGAAAGGGCCACATTGAGTGGTTGCCACCTGCATGACCCAACCAGGGCTGGGGACAAACTGCAACCGAGGTGTGCGCCCTTAGCGGGAATTGAGCCCGGGTCTCTCTGGACTGCAGGCCGATGCTCTAACCGCTGAGCCAGACTGGCCAGGGCAAAAGGCGAGTGTTTAAATTATTTATGAACATTAAGGTATTTAAGAAAGCAGGGCACAGGGAGAGCCTGCCCAGGGAGAATCTTCTTTAAGAGAGAAACTGTTGCCACCACGGCTTTATCTGTTGGACTCCGTCGCCAGCTCCCACTAGCACTCGGTCATGCAGTGTTTCCTTTCTTTTTTGTCCTCTATCGCCAGTTAAATCGAAGTGACAGTGACAGCTCAACCCTGGCCAAGAAGTCTCTGTTTGTGAGAAACTCCGCTGAACGGCGCAGTCTGAGGGCCAAAAGGGTACGTATTCCCCAGCAGCGGCGCCGCCCAGGCCCACCAGAGCCGCGGCTGCCCGGCGGAAGCACCAGAACTGCTGAGCACTACTGCTCCCAGCCTCGGGCTTCCGCGGGAGGCCGCGTGATGACGGAGACGCACGTTGTGTCAGCTGCGGAGATGGAGAGAGGACGTGCCTGAGAGCACCCTTCGTCACGGGTTCGGACCCCGGCTCAGGAAGGCAGGAAGTTAGCCCGCAGTATCGCTGGAGAAGGGGCGGCTGAGTGGGTGGCCCGGTGCCTACTGAGGGCCACGGTGTTCCCCACCACGCCTGGCTTCTGAGCTGTCGTGGGAAAGCGTAGCGCCCTCCTCTGACGGCGGGCGTGCCAGCTCCAGTCGGCTGCCCCAGGGGGCCACGGTCTCTGGTGACCTTCAGGGGTACATCTGAGAGAGTATTTACATAAATGAGAAGGTTGACCAGTTCACGTAGTTCAGAAAGTCCTGTTTACTTACCAACAGCTGAAATGCTAATGGGAAGTTACTTGCTCACTAATACTTTGTCTTAGTGATAACTTACTAGCTCTTTTATTTCAGCTTAAAGCATCCTCAGTAAGCACACGAAGCACTCGGTGCTAAGCTCCGCAGGTGTTCTAGTCTGGAAGAGGCCGGGGAAGCAGGGACCAGAAGCAGGGACCGGGAAGGTGTGGCAGGCAGGAGGGCAGGGGCTCTGCTGCTGGGGGGTGGAAAGGCCTCATGGGAGAGGTCTGCGGCCTTGACACCTGGATGACACTTCAGAAGAGAGGACAGCTTGGCTGGGGGTGGGGGCTGGATACAGGTGCTGTGGGTAGGTGGAGTGAAATGACACCAGGCACCGGGGCGGGGGCGGGGGCAGGAAGACACATTCAAGGGACAGGAGTGACCAGGCTCGGCAGAGCTTAGGCGCTGGGTGGGGGGGGAGACTGGGGGTGAAGACTGGGAAGGTAAGCTGGAGTCGTCGGCTCTACTGGGGACTCTGGCTCAGTACTGCTGTATGATCAGGAACCTTGGGTCCCCTGGTTTCACGTCCTCGTTGCCTGACAGCGATAAGCATGTTTTATTTTTTTTAAAGGTGAATGCACTACCATTACTTAACACCAGCATTTTCAGGGAATTTTGAGGTGTGGATCTTCCAGATTATCAAACTTGATCCTCTAAAAGTGACCGTCCTTCTGTGTCACCTGCCTTTCTCAGCAGCACGTACTTTCAGAGGAGGGGAGCCCCCTTCAGGGAAATTGTAACCAGGAGTGTTTACGAACTGAGTGGAGCTGGGTAGCAGCCAGTCATGGTGAACTCAGCTCTTAGAGCTGGTGGAGCCAGAGGGTAATCCTGAAACGTGCAGGAGGTGGTTGCTAAGTGGCTGTTGCGGTGAACAGGGGTTTGGTAGAAGTGATGGGCAGTGGTATTCTGAGTTGGGTTTACCATGAACAAGGGGCAGTGGTGTAAGGGAGAAGGTGAGTAAGAGGTTTACCCGACTGGAGAGAGAAGCAAAGTGCCAGGCCCGGGGTCCGTGGGGGAGCCCCTCAGCTGCTCCCGAGAGCCGATGGTGCACATCTCTTTCCGGTTCGGTGACCTCCCACTTAGGCTTGGAAACGGTTATGGCAGGAGTATTTACACCACAGGAACTGGCCGACCCTACAGGTCAGTGAGCCACTTTAAGCACTTACTGGCCGGCTACCGGGCACTGGAGTCCTGAGGAGGGCTCCATGCGCATGACGACTAGGAAGGCTACCTGGTTTTGAAAAATGAGTAATACAGTCAGACTGCGTGTCTGGGTGACTGCTGTAATGTCTGTTGGAGCAGAGGTTGAATGAAGGGGACCTGATGAGAGTGTGGCGGACACTGGAGAATGGACAGCAGGGTGCTGGACGAGCAGGCCACGGGGAAAGCTCTTCAGGTGTGGGTGAGGCTCTGCGATGAGGAGAGAGGCAGACAGGCCCCCCTCTCGTCTGTCGTGAGCACCCCATTGTCCAGATCTTCAGGCTGGAATACTCCTCCCGCTTGCATCCCCTCTCTCGTGTGGGACGGTCCCAGCTGTTCTCAGCAGCCTCCTTTCCCGTCCCCTGTGCCGGCAGTGCCCTCCTGCCCGCGTACGCGTCCTTCCCGGCCCGTCTGAATCCCTTTCCCCAGGCCCTTCCGACCCAAGCTGACCGACTCCCTTCCCTGACCTGCGGCACAGAAGTCGCTTCTCGGCGTCTCCTGCCATCCTTTAATGACATCCCAAGGTCACACATTGTGTCTTCTCGTCTAGGGTTTTGCCGGCAACCCCCCAGCAGACATTCACCCCTACTCATTGAGATTATTTCTCGATAACGGATAAGACTGGCTGCAGGAAGGATACCGGGGATGCGGGGTGAAAGGTCACGTTAGACCATGGGAGGCAGCGCTGACTGGGGAGGGGACAGTCCGGGGCTGAGCTCCGCCTTCCGCCGGGCACGTGCGGAGTAACAGCGGAAGGTGTGCGCTCTGGGGACGGCCGCGTCCTGAGGTGGAGGAAATGTGCGTTTCTCGGGGTGCAGGGAGGGCGGCCTTTGTGTGGTCAGGTGGTGGCGACCGGAGGGGTCCGAGGTTTGAAGCAGTAAAGGTTGTTCCTTGCGACTTGCTCATTGCGGTACGGCTGCCCGCCCTGCTCCCTGTCCTCACTCGGGGCCTGTCTCTGGATCTTGGCCGTCCCTGCAGCAGGCGACAGAAACGCACAGAGCACACACCTGCAGGTGACCCGCGTCACTCCCGCTGACCTGTCCCTGGGCTGGCGACGCCTCGCCCAGGGGAGCGAGGACGCGCCCCCGCCGACCGCCAGGGAGCAGGACAGGCAGAGGTGGCTGCGGCGTGACGCAGCTGTGTTTGTTCTCCGACCGCCAGGCCGCGTGCCAGCCGGTCCTTAGACGAGCAGCTCCCGAGTGCCCCGTGCGCACGTCGCTGGACCTGGAGCTGGACCTGCAGGCCTCGCTCACCCGCCAGAGCCGCCTCAACGACGAGCTGCAGGCCCTCAGGGGCCTGAGGCAGAAGCTGGAGGAGCTGAAAGCTCGGGGGCAGACGGACCTTCCGCCGGGGGTGCTGGAGGACGAGAGGTTCCAGAAGCTCCTGAAGCAAGCGGAGAAGCAGGTACGTGTTCAGGTGCCCCTCAGCTCTGAGGTCTTGGGAGAGCCATCCCTGCAGAGCTGTGTGTGGGGGACACCAGCTCACACCTGTCCCCTCAGCTCTTCGCCCCTGGCCCCGCACCGCGTATGGTGCTCAGAGCGCATTTCTCCTGAGGCCTTTCCAACCCCGATTCAGAGAGGTCAGAGTGGTGCTGCCGCCCCAAGGGGCAGGCCAGAGGTCCCCCACCCCACCCCACCCGCCGCTGCCGCTCTGGTGGCCGCTGGCGTCCAACAGGAGGGGACCATGGCGGCGAGGGGGTGGGTCCCTTCTGCTCAGCATGAGCCTTGGCAGATAAACACAGTGTAGCCTTTGAACGTGAGTGATAACTTGTGATAGAAGTTTCTCGTGGGTCTTCAGGATCCGTCCATCACGTCGTCGTGGACGTGATGCTCGTTTCGATGCTCCCGAGTTTTCGGTTCTTGGTTACCGTCGGCGAAGGCCCCTCACGCACCCTCTCGCCTCCCGCCGCGCACATGGCCTTGCAGGATAGGCAGCAGTCACCGACTTCACAATGGGGTTTTTAAAGGAGTATTTCCATTCTTCTGCCTCCTAAATATGGCCAAAAATTTCAAGACGCTGCACATTGATGACATTAATTTGTCCTCTCAAGATTAGAATTCACATTTTAGTATGGGGCATGTGTAATGTACAAATAGAATTTCCCACATAGCTGCAATATTACAAATAACAAACAAATTTTTTTCAACCCTTTTGGATGGAAATCTGAAATAGATTAGTCACTTCCTTAAACTAGTAGAAACTCTTGCCCATAATAGAAGCTTCTCTTTTTGGCCCAAAGTTATTTTTAATCATACAGTGTATGGTACTTCAGGGGAACTTTGAGTCATTTCACTGACTAGCTACTAATTCTAGATGGAACTCAGGAACTTAACATGTGAACTTCAGCAGTCAAGCTGATGCCAATAATTTTTTTTCTAATTTTTATTAATTGATTTTTGTTACAGATGTTTCTCCTTTTCCCCCCCTAGACCCTCTCCTCCCCTTCCTGCTCCCTCCACACACACCCCAGCATTGTTGTCTATGTCCACTGGTTACACATACATGCATATAAGTTCTTTGGTTAATCTCATCCTTCCCCCCCCCCCACGCCCCCCTATTACGAGGTTTGTCAGTCTGAACCATACTCCTTTCTATGTCTCTGGGTCCACTTCATTCATCAGCCCACCCTGGTCATTATATTCCACAAATAAGTGAGATCACATGATACCAATAATTTTTAAAGAGAGTTTAAGACCCGGCCGGTGTGGCTCAGTGGTTGAGCATTGTCCATGCACCAAGAGGTCACTGGTTCAATTCGCGGTCAGGGCACATGCCCAGGGTGCAGTAGAGGGCATGCAGGAGGCAGCCGATCTGTCATTCAATGCATTACTCTCATCAGTGTTTCTCTCTCCCTCTCCCTTCCTCTGTCTGAAACCAATTTAAAAAAGCGTAAGGAACAAAATGTATTACATGTCTGTACTATAATCCCACCTTCACACACAATAGGATCTCAGTAAATGTCTGTTCAGTGGGGAGTTGTAGATCTTATATTTGACACTATGGTGGATAACGGAATAATTAGACACTGCCGTGCCCTTAAAGAACTTGTGGTTTGATCAAGGAGATGAGCCACCTTTCTCTTGAGGAAGAGAAATCACTTCCTGGGGAGACCAGGAGAGGCTTCATGGAGGAAGTGGCATTTAACCTGGTCTGGAAAGTGGGTACTGGAACTTGGTCCCAAGTGAGGGGTGAAGAGGCCAGCGGGCAGGGGCCCAGCGATAACAGTGTGGCTCCAGCGGAGGGCCCAGGGACAAGAGCCTGTGGACAGCAGAGCCACAGCGTGGCTGTCTCTGCAAAATGGGAGATCGCGTTAAAGGCTGAAGTGATCTACTCTTATGTTTGTGACCCTAATAGCCATCATCATCATTTTCACTCTCTTGAGTCTCACCTCAACATGAGCAGTAATTTCAAATTCTTGGTTGACACTGACCAACTTGAATATCATGAAGAAGCATGACCGTCTTTTGACTCTTATGGGTCAAAGGATTTCAAAGATTAGAGTTTTACAACTATAGATAAAGCAGAACTTGACATCTTTAGGGTTTTTTTGGTTGTTTCTTTGTTTTTAATTTTTCCTAATATGAAATTCTGGGATTCTGTGTATGCATAATTATAAAAACTTGGGACTTTTGTTTCATTTAATATCACATTGGTAAGGGTCATCCACAAACTGCTTGTTGTGTAGGTCTCTCTGGCTAATCTAATCAAAGATAGCTAATGTCCACTGCATAGAGACAAGCTCAATAAAGTGAAAACTTTGTTCTTTGAGGAAAAAAAAACTAAAAATGAACAAAGCTGACAGAAGAGAAGATACAAAAAAAATTATCAAAGTAAAGAGGGGCAGAACTACAGGTCAACTTGAAATTTAAAGAATATTTGAATACTATCAAAAAGATATGCCCGTGCCCTGATTGGTTTGGCTCAGTGGTGAGAGTGTCGGCCTGCAGACCAAAGAGTCCTGGGTTAGATTCCGGTCAAGGGCACATACCTCCATTGTGGTTTGGTCCCGGAACTGGTTGGGGTCGTGTGGGAGGCAACCAGCCAGTGTGTCTCTCTCTCTCCTCCACCCCTTCTCTCTCCCTCCCTCCTTCCCTCACACTCTATCTGAAGATAAATGGAAAAATATCCTTGGGCGAGGATTGAAAAACATATATATATGCCCACTTCTTGGCTGTTGCAAACAACCCTGCCGTAGTATTTGTGGAAAGAACAAAATAAATGAACAAACAAACTGAAATAGACTTATAGACACAGAGAACAGACTGATGGTTATATCAGTTGTCAGAGGGGAGCGGTGTTGAGGGACCAGATAAAAATGGCGAAGGGATTGAGAAGTAGATAGGAAGTTACAAAATAGTCACAGGATGTAAAGTACAGCGTGGGGAATATACAATAATTTTGTAATAACTATATATTGTGCCAGGTGGGTACTGGAAATATTGGCGGGAACACTATGGAAAGTGTATGATTATCTAACCACTATGCTGTACACCTGAAATAGTGCAAAATAATATTGAATGTAAACTGTTATTGAAAAATAAAATTTAAAAAAGATAAGCCCACAATTTGGAAAAATATCTAGGAAAATATACTCCAACTGATGAAAGAAGGGGGGGAAAATCTAAAATCCAATACCTTTTTCCCCCTATACTGCTTAAGGAAATGAGAGCAGAGACTAATAATCTCTCCCCAGAGAAAACAGAAGGTCTAGATGTCTTATATGTAAGTTCCACCAAACTTTCGAAGAGCAGATTCTCTCCGTTTTATACAAATGCTACCAGACACTAGAAAAAGAGAGAACACATCACAACGCATTCTGTGTGACCATCATCCCTAACACCGAAACTAGACAACGACCTTATCAAAAGAAAAATCACAGGTGGTCAGTTCCGTTTATGAAGATAAATGCAAACATCTGAACTAAAACATTAGTAAGTAGAATCCAGTAATACACTTGGAAGATACTACACTTTGTGTTGAATTGCGTGAGGATTTTTTAATATTAGAAAAATCTATTCGTATAATTAATTTTTTTAACACATTAAGAAGAAGACCCGTTTGATCAACTCAACAGATGCAGGAAAAATATCGATAAGAGTCAGTAGTCATTCACGTTGAAGCTGTGAGCAAGTTAAGAAGACGAGAATTTCTTTAACCCGATGAAGAGGAGGGGAAGCAGATGTGGTCCGGAAGAGGTGAGCACTGGAATTGTTCTTTTAAAAATCAGGCGCAAGACACTCAACTCTGTTCACTGCTGAAATACTAGGAATTCTCGCCGACGGTAAGAAAAAAGTAGAAACAGAGGTTGGAAAGGAGATACAAAAGGCAGTGACCATTTGCCGATAACACGATTATGTCCATTAGAAAATCTGCATGTTATTACAAAGAATAAGAGTTTAGCAAGATGTGTACATAGAAGAATCATATCTAAAGAACTCTGTGGCGTTGCTCTCCACTAACCAGAAACAACTGGTCAGTTTAAGTAAGATGTTATTTATAACAGTGTCAAAGAACAAATTGAACCAAACGTGCAGTACAACATAGGGAAAATCACAGTGCCGTGAGGAGAAATGTGGGAACCCCTAAACTCCTGCAGCACCCCGCCTCCACGGGGAGGTCGGCGCACCTTCTCTGTGACAGGGCCGCAGTGAGCGGGCCCCGCGGCCACTGCTCACGCCTGCAGGGAGCAGACGCAGCCAGAGCGCCGTGAAGTCACGGCTGTGCTCTCGTGAAACTAGGCAGACAGACGGCAGGCTCCTTTGCCAGCCCTCAGCGTAGGGGAAGAATCAGTGTTGTGGGGATGCTCATTTCTCCCTGAAGGGTGGCCCGGCGTCTGCAGTTCCAAGCAGGAGGCCCGCGTGGTTTTCGTGGAACTGCAGAACCAAGAACACCCGTGGGGAAGAAAGCCAGGGAGGGACCTGGCTGCAGGGAGTCGGCGTTTGTGAAGCTGCTGAGGCAGATGCACAGTGGAGCTGGCGGGAGAGTCGAGAGACGGGTCAAGGGCACAAGCAGGGAGCCAGAGAGGACGCCTGGCCGGCAGAGCGATGCTCTGTGACGGGGACAGCCTGTCAGCCGGCGACTGAAGGAGGGACCGCTGGACCAGTGAAGCTGGGAAGAGATGGCACTGGATCCCCGCCTCTGGTACGGACATCAACTCCAGGTAGGTTCCGTGTCAGAAGTAGAGGTCGGAGCCTCACAGGAGCAAGTGTGGGAGGCATAGTCCTGTTTGGGTTTCGGCGGCTCCAGCGCCTGGTCTGCTCCTTCCTGGTTGGAGAGAAGGGCGGGGCTGGGAGAGCCTTGGGCATCTAAGGGAGGCGGGGACCCTGGGGGTTCCGAAGATGAGCTCTTCAGGAAGCCTTGTGGTGCTGTGTGTGACATCCACCAGAGGGGGGGCTCCTCCAGGT